TAAAATTAAATTGTGGTAATGTTTGTACAGCTCTGTAAATATGCTAACATTCACTGAACTACACACTAAAAACAGATGAATTTTGTTATCTAAATTACATCTCAATAAAGCTATTTTAAAAAGTAAGTTTGAGGGGCCGGCCCAGTGGTGTAGTGGTTAAGTTTGCACGCTCCGCTTCGGTGGCTCAGGGTTTGCAGACCTGGATCCTGGGCACCGACCTAGCACCGCTCATCAAGCCACACTGTGGTAGCATCGCACATAAAATAGAGGAAGATTGGCACAGATGTTAGCTCAGGGCCTATCTTCCTCACACATACACACAAAAAAAGTGAGTTTGCATCTTGTAAAATTCCAATTTATTTCAAATTGGAATAGGGTGGATATTGGGACAGTTGGATCAAAACTAGATTTACTGACATCTATTAGATTATTTTACAAATCTAACTATCCATTTCCTAAATAATGAAATTACTGCTCCAATATTATCAAACTTTCCTTACATAGTTATAAAATTTAACTAATTATATATTATAAGTTATAATTGTGAGACTCAAAATGTTTCATGACTTGAAAGGGATGATAATATAAATCATAGAAACAAAAGCAGAAATGTCACATAGCTTTACCACCTGCTAGAACATTTTATTTAAGGCTTCTAGAAGAATCTAAATAACATTCAAGTATAATCATGATGCTTACTAGCCAGACATTTCAATTATAAAGATATTTTATAATATATAGTTCAGATGTAAATAGCATTGCTTATGTATATGGATGGCTGTTGATGAAAGGAAAAATATGCACCTTTTCCAACTCCATTCTAAGGAACTTTAGTATTCAAATCTCATTTTTAAATCACATTATAGAAAACATTGAGTTGAAACAAGTTAATTTCTTTACTAAAAGAATTATTTTTAAAAGTTGCCTTTATTGCATAAAAATAACAGGAACAAAATCTTTGAACAGTAATTTCTCAGTCTTCTATAAAATATTCTGATCTACAAGATAGGAAAACTGCGTAGCTGGTAAAGCTTGTGTCACCATGTTGCAATCTGTGTGGTTTTGTATAGCTGATTGATGTGTAATCAGTTTGTTAACCTCTATGATTACGAATTATGTCCAAAAGTAAACTCAATCAGGGGTTAAACCATTTTTACTCTACTGAAAACCTCCACAAAATCTCCTTGGAACTGATGATGTTGAAATCTCTCTAAATAAAGAGCTTGCTTTCTGGGCTGATGGGTGAAAGAGTCATTCTTGTTTTTTCCTATTGTGGCAAAGTATACATAACAAAATTTACCATTTTAACCACTTTTAAGCACACAGTTCAGTAGCAATAAGTCCATTCACATTAGTGTGCAACCATCACCACCATCCATCTCCAGAATTTTTCATCTTCCCAAACTGAAAGTCTGTACCCATTAAACACTAACTCCCCAATCCTCCCTCCCTCCAGCCCCTGGCAACCACCATTCCACTTCCTGTTTCTATGAAGTTGACTACTCTAGGTACTTCATATAAGTGGAATCACGCAGTGTTTGTCCTTTTGTGACTGGCTTCTTTCACTTAGCGTTAATGCCTGCAAGGTTCATCCATGTTTGTAGCTTGTATCAGAATTTCCTTTCTTTATAAAGCTGAATAATATTCCATTGTATGTATATGCCACATTTTGCTTATCATTCACCCATCAATGGACACTAGGGTTTCTTCCACATTTTAGCTATTGTAAATAATGCTGCAATGAATGTGAGTGTAGAAAGATTCATTCTTGTAACCAGCATTCATGCCAGGTGTGCAGCTCCCCTCTCCCAGCTTATCCACATTATTTTCTAGAAGTGTGGCATGCCACAATAAACATTATAAAATTCACAATAAGTGGATGTTCTCAATGAATTTTCTTTAATATATCAAGTCTCTAGTTGGCTCCTCATTAAGAAAAAGAAATTTACTGTTGTTGAGAGCAAAATATCTGTTCCATTTAGTGTCTGGGAGCAATGGCCTCCTGAATATAAACTCAGAGCCAGAGTCAACACGTTAATTTGTGAAGCTCAAGTATTGATTTGGTGATGCCATTCCCTTCCTCTGATGCTATTCCTATCAACTCCCCAAGAAAAGACGTATCAGGGAGAGCCAGGCTCTCTTTTAGTAAAACATACATGGACCAAGGAATTCATATGTTATGTACACATGTGTTTTTCAGTAAGGTTACTCCAAATTATACTGCACGCTGTAATAGATAATGCTGAGAAATGAGGCATCTTTATATAACTGCAAGATATAAGAAAAAGTATAATTCTGTCGTATTGCACCTTTGTTTTATTAACAGTAAACTATTATATACAATCCTCTTAGCTACTCTGTGCCAGACAATATCTAAGTGCTTTCTCTCCAGACTCCTCCTCAGCACTCACCCCACACATACATACACTTTTGTTTCTTAAACTCTATGGGGTAGGCATTATTACCTTCATTCCCGTTGTACAGAAAAATGAAGTTAAGAGGGGTTAAGTGTGCCATCCAAGGTTACACAGCTAGCAAATAGGTAGCAGATCTAGAATTAGAGCCCAGGTGTCCTGATCTCAGGGTTTGTGCACTTAATCACTGTGTCTTTCTGTGTCCCAAGTTTGGGGTTTTTGCCCACACAAGTTCATCACCATTTTGCAAACAGACCTGACAAGACCTGCGTTATTTCCTTTTCCAAGGAAATCAACATTTGACATTCTCTCCTGATAGGCTTTTCTTTTCATTCAAGTTAAATTGTACTTATAAGCTGTTGGCTCAATTTCATCTTCGCTCAGACATTCTGTATCATTTCTCTCTCAATGGTATTTACTGCATTTTACAAGTAACTTTGATATTTATAATTAGGGTGCCATGCATCCATTGTTTTGTCTTCTTTTAAAAAATAAAAAAATTTGAATCTTATACCAATTTTTGATAAATCTCACTAGATATATGTTAAAACATCATTTTTATTACTTTTTGTTTTTCCCACAGTCCTGTAACTAATTTTTATTCTTATATTCTTGCAGACTCAAGCCAGTTTAGATACATTTTCCATTGAGATTTGAAAAACTCTTAAGTTGTTTTCAGTTTGTTTTCCATCTTACCTGCTTATACGGAGGAAAATCTGTTCTTTGTTACAAATCTATTGTAAACTCATAAACTGGTATTCATCAATCAAAACTGAAGGGAAAAAATGAGACCCACTATTCTTTAAATTTTATGGTCATTGTTGGAAGTTAGGTAAATGATGTTGTCCTCCAAGAAAGTATAAAAGCTGATTCCATTTCTACAGATTTTGCTGGACAATAAATTTACAAAAATCCTGTTATGGTTTAATCCTGATTCTAACTATTACTTTATTCCTGATGATTTCACAAATAGACTAAGAAAGTTGATGTTTATTTTTCGGTTCCAGTTTTACTAGGGCTTCACAGGCTGCAAGAAAAGACATACACTAAAAAACCTCTGGGTTTTCATCCTGCTCACATTAAATTGTTCTTCCATAATTAGGCTTTAAGATGAAAATCATCTACCTATCCCTCAAAAAGTTATCTTTCATTTAGTCCTAGAAGATTGAGTGCCTTCTCTGCATGTAAAAGGGGGCTGTACACCAGTTTTGTGCATCACAAAGAAAGTTTTTTCCAAGATGCGTTAATACTTACACTTTTGGAAACAGGTTTTAAACTTTTGAATGGTAATTTCTCTTTCAAATAAGAAAATATAGAGGCTATTTTTAGAAGAACTTCTTTGCATTTGGGTACTTCCTGTCTTTATCGCCGTGCCTAGTCCAAGCCTCAATCCTCCAAATCTAAAGTGGAACTGTGGCCTGAACGCTGGTGCCCAGCAGGAGCCACAACCACCATCTGTTGACCGGCGTCTTCTTTCCGTTCAGGTACAGGCTCTGAGGGTGAAGTCCCAAGTGATGAATAAGGGCACTCAAGAAGTGAGACTGCCAGAGAAACACTAGGAGAGTGAGGTTTCATTTAATGACATAAAAAGATACAGAATCAGGGGCCAACCCATGGCCCAGTGGTTAAGTTTGCATGCTCTGCTTAGACAGCCCAGGGTTTCACTGGTTTGGATCCTGGGTGCAGACCTAGCACCGTTCCTCAAGCCATGCCCAGGCGCAGTCTAACATAGCAGAGCCAGAAGGACCTACAACTAGAATATACAGCTATGTACTGGGGGGCCTTGGGGAGAAGAAGAAGAAACAAAAAGAAGATTGGCAACAGATGTTAGCTCAGGCGCCAATCTTAAAAAAAAAAAAGATGCAGAATCAGTTAAGAAAAAACAAAAGGGAGGCGGGCTGCTCCCTCTGCAGAGGCAACCTCACCTCTAAAGACAACGTCAGATTGCAGACTATCCGCAGGATAAACTTGGGAGTCACTTGGCCATGCGCTGAAAGATCCTGAGTCATTGGGTCACCGCTGGACAACTGTGAGAGCTCTGGGATTCATCAGCCAATACCTGAGGACTAACCTAACATGTTTGGAAAATGTCTAAATGCCCTCCCTTTCCACTTCTGAAAGTTGTCACAGAGGCAGAGGAAGAGAGCCACTACTGTTGCACCACGAATCTCTCACTCTCCTCTCATTGTTCGTCACTAAGATGTCCTAAGATGGCAGGAGCAATTTCTGAGAGGCGTGTGCACATTTGAGGGCAAACACCACTCCAGATCACCAGGTTAAGAACGCATCTGCCGGTGTAATCAACGGCGCTGGCTGCCTCTTCCTAGGCTTCTTTTACTGGAGGGCCATCTAAGCAGTTTCTAGGATTACCAAATTTTCCTAAACCTTCTGTTTGGACAGCGAGATTGAGACGTCAAAGTATATCCTGGGAGCTTGTCCCTTGGATGTGCGACTGCAGTTGACATCCAAAGTGGCGAGGCCGCAGCCTGGACTCGCAGGGCTCACGGCGATCTCCTGGGATAGGTGGGCGTGGCTTTCCGGCAGGCGGGCGGGGTTAGGAGGGAGGAGTCACCAGGCTCGCGCGGCAGTCTGTGGAAAAACCAGCTGCGCCCCAGAGGGCGGACGCGCGGCGACCCTGAAGACCCGGCAGGCAGAGACAGAGAGAGTCCTGTGATAGGAGGGCTGAGGGGCTGCTGTGGTCCCATCCTCCTTGTACCCGCGGCCGGGCTCTACGACGCCTTCGTCCCCACCCGCGGCGGCAGCGATGCCTGGCGGAGTCTGGGTGCTGGCGCTGTCACTGCTGCTCCTGGCCCCGGGGGAAGGTCGGCCAGGTAGGGCACTGGGGGATGAGAGTGCAGGGGCGCCACTTGGGTCTTTGGGAGAGGGGAGCTGACTTCCCGGATGACACGTGGTGCATCTCTGTGCATTTAAATGGCCGCATTTGATACTGTCCGTGACCGACCTCCGCCCCGTCCTACCGCTGTTTTTGAAATAGTCTTTTTACAGCCTTGCCGCTCTTCAGTTTTCGTTTGCGCATGGGCTCTTGTCTCCTCGTCTCCTGCTCCAAGACCCTCGGTCCTGTTTTTGTTCTTTTGTTTGTTTCCTGCTGACGTCCTGCTCCTTAAGGTCCCTTTAATTTACTGTAAGAAACTTTTGCTGAATCTGCCAGAAGTCCTAGCGGCAAGTGGATCCGAATTATCGGAAAAGAAGTCAGGTTCAAACTGCCTGATTTCTACCCTACTCCCACCCACCCCCGGAAATAATAAATTGATGAACATTTTATCCCTACACTAAATTAGTAAGATAAGTTTTGTGTATGTTTTTCGTAATCTGATAGAATCACTTTTGCTACCATAAAAGAGATCTCTCTGGAGAGAATGGGGCCCCTTCCACTTCTTTAATCCACGACAAAGGAAACATAGTTTAAAATATAGTGAAGTTAAAACAAAACAACGTTCATTAGCCCTTCCTGATTGCTTTTGTGTTCATACAGGTAGGAACGTTAAATGAAAGGTGACTTGTTCTTATATTGTAAGTTTCCTTATGTTTTTCAGAAATAAATCTGATCTGTGTAAACTGTCTGCAGCTTGAAAAAGAAATTCTGTGCAAAATTTGTAACTATTTAGGGTATAATTTTGTCTTATTATCTTGTTGATCTTAATCTATTTTACTAAGGTAAGTTTGCTCGTAAAAAAGGGAGAGGGAGCAAGCATTCTCCCATGTAAAACTGTGAAAAGAATATTAGAACGCAAGTAAGTTATTTCCTGAAATGATACACCTTAGCAAGCTATCATTGGTCTATGACTTCTTTGGTTTGTTTACACATTTACTAGATCTTCATGAAGAACTGTTAAAAATACATGTAATATATTAGATGTGCATTTATTACAGTTAGACAACATATTTCCGGAAGAATTACCAATATTTATAAAGGAATTTGCTTCAATGTTTACTGTAGATCCCATAACCCCTTCTTGCCTCTACGTAATAGCTTTGTAGGAGTCGGCCCCCTGGCACAGTGGTTAAGTTCTGGGGCTCTGCTTCAGTGGCACAGGGTTTCACTGGTTTGGATCCTGAGTGCGGACTTAGCACTGTTCATCAAGCCATGCTGAGGTGACGTCCCACATAGCAGAGCCAGCAGAACCTACAATCAGAATATACAACTGTGTACTGGGGGGTTTAGGGGAGAAGAAGAAGGAAAAAAATAAAAGTATTGTAGTCTCTACTGAAGGCAAATATTAACCCTTACCAGATTCTAAGCTCAAGTTATGGTAAAGTTTATAGCTTCTTTATGTTTAATACAGTAATGATAAAAGGGGAGATAAATGGAAAATAGGACTTTTTTCAAACTGCTTTATGAAGATATTGTTCATATACTGTATAAATCACTCATTTACTGTGTGCATTGGTTTATTACAGTGTATAGTGGTCTATGGCTTTTTGTATATTCACAAATATGTGCAACCATTGCTACAGTCAATTTTAGAACATTTTTATCATCTCAGAAAGAAATGCTATATTCTAGATATTCTCTCCCTATAGCCACCTTCACCCTCCCCACCTTCCCAACTGCAAGCAGTCACTAATCTGCTTTCTGCTCCATAGATGTGTCTATTCTGGATATTTTGTATAAATAGAACCATATAATATAAGGTCATTTATGACTGACTTCTTTTACTCAGCGTAATGTTTTGAGGGTTCACCCATGTTGTAGTGTGTATCAGTACTTCATCCCTTTTTGGGGTAGAACAATATTCTATTGTAAGAATACACCATGTTTTGTATGTCCATTCATCACTTGATGAACATTTGGGTTGTTGACACTTTTTGGCCATTATAAATAATGCTGCTATAAACATCCAGGTACAAGTTTTTGTTGGACACAGGTTTTTGTTTCTCTTGGGCGTATACCTAGGAATGGAGCTACTGGATCATATGGTAACTTTACATTTAACCATTTGAGGAACTGCCAGAATGTTTTCCAAAAGGCTGCACTGTTTTATATTCCTGCAGCAGTGGATGAGGGCTCCAATTTATGCACATCCTTGTCACCGCTTGTTATCGTCTGAGATTTTGACTCTAGCCATCCTAGTGGATGTGAAGTGACATCTCGTTGCAGTTGGATTTGCATTTCCCTGGTGGCTAATGATGTTAAGCATTTTTTTCATCTATTTATTGGACATTGGAGAAACATCTACTCAGATCCTTTGCCAATTTTTAATATTTTTATTATTGAAATGTGTGAGTTATTTGTATATTCTAGATACAATTCTCTTATCAGATATGTGATTTGCAATTATTTTCTCCCATGCTGTGGATTGTCTTCACTTTCTTGATAGTGTCTTTTGAAGCACAGAAGTTTTTAATTTCACTAAAGTCCAATTTCTTTATCTTTTTGTTGTTGCTTTTGCTTTGTGTTGTCATATCTTGTAATCCATTGCCAAATCTAAAGTCATGAAGATTACCCCAATGGTGTTTTTTAAGGTTTTTATATTTTTAGCTCTTGTATTTTGGTCTTTGATCCATTTTGAGTTAATTTTTGCTATGGCTTAAGGTAAGAGTCCAACTTTCTTCTTTTGCACGTGGCTATCCATGTTCCCAGCACCATTTGCTGAAAAGACTGTCCTCTCCCCATTGAATGGTCTTGGCACTCTTATCAAAACTCAGTTGAAAACTATAGATACACGGGTTTATTTCTGCACTCTCAATTCTATTCCTAGATCTATATGTCTGTCCTTATGTCAGCACCACACTGTCTTGATTACTGTTGCTTTGTGGTAAATTTTGAAATGGGGAAATATGAGTCCTATTTTGTTCTTTTTGGAGGCGGTTTTAGCTATTCTGGGTCCACTGAAATTTCATATGAATGTTAGGATTAGTTCGTCAGTTCCTGCAGTGGACTCAGGTGGTGCTCTGATAGGGACCGTGAGGGTCTGCGTTCAGTATGGGGAGTATTGCCGTCGCAGCTACATTGTCTCCTGGACCATCAACATGGGTGTATTTTCATTTACTTAGATCTTTAGTTTCTTTCAACAATGTTTTGTGATATTCAGAATAGAATTTTTGTACTTCTTTTGCTAAATTTATCCGTAAGTATTTTGTTCTTTTGAATCTATTAGAAATGGAATTGTTTTCTTAATTTTCTTTTCAGACTATTCATTGCACATGTATGAGAATATAATTGGTTTTTGTATGTTGATTTTGTACCCTGAAACCTTACTGAACTTGTGCACTTGTTCTAATAGTTGTTTTTTGGGTTTTTTTTTTTTGTAATGGATTCCTTAGGACTTTCCACATACAAGATCATGTCATCTAGGAATAGAAATAGTTTTACTTCTTCCTTTCCAATCTGGATGGCTTTTATTTATTTGTCTTGCATAGTTTTCCTTACTAGAACATAGAGTACATGTTAAATAGAAGTGGTGAGAGTGGACATTATTGTCTTGTTTCTGATCTTTTGGGAAAGAATCTCGTCTTTCTTCATCATCTATGGTATAAGCTGTGGGGTTTCTTTTGTAGACTCCCTTTTCAGGTTGAGAAAGTTTCCTTGTAGTCCTAGTTTGTTGAGTGTTTTAACCATAAAAGGATGTTAGATTTTTTCAAATACTTTTTCCATGTTTATTGAGATAAGCATGTGGATTTTGTTTTTTATTTATTAATATGATGTATTACATTAATTCATTTTCGGATGTTAAAATCAATCTTATATTCCTAGGATAAATCCCACTTGGTCAATCCCACTTGGTCATGGTTTATAATTCTTTGTCTATATTTCTGGATTCATTTGCTAGTATTTTGCTGAGGATTTTCTTTCTTTCTTTCTCTCTCTCTCTCTCTCTCTCTCTTTCTCTCTCTCTTTCTCTCTCTCTCTCTCCCTCTTTCTCTCTCTCTTTCTCTCTTTCTTTCTTTCTCTCTCTCTCTCTCTCTCTCTCTCTCTTTCTTTCTTTCTTTTTTTGGTGAGGAAGATTGTCCCTGAGCTAACATTTGTTCTCTTTCTCTCTCTCTCTTTCTCTCTCTCTCTCTTTCTTTCTTTCTTTCTTTCTTTCTTTTTTTGGTGAGGAAGATTGTCCCTGAGCTAACATTTGTTGCCAATCTTCCTCTTTTTGCTTGAGGAAGATTGTCGCTGAGCTAACATCTATGCCAGTCTTCCTCTATTTTGTATATGGGCTGCTACCACAGCATGGCTTTGAGCAGCATGTAGGTCTGTGCCTGGGATCTGAAGCTGCGAACCTGGGGCGGAGTGTGCAAACTTAATTACTACACCACTAGGCTGGCCCCTGCTGAGGATTTTTGCATCCACATTCCAAAGATATATTGGTCTATAGTCTTCTTTTCTTGTGATATCTGACTTTGGTATCAGAGTAATACTGGGCTCATAAAACGAGTCTGGAAGTGTTCCATCCTTTTCTGCTTTTTGCAAATGTTTGTGAATAATTGGTATTATTCTTTAAATATTTGGTAGGATTCAGCATTGATGCCAATCTGGACCTGGCCTTTTCTTTATAGGTGTTTTTTTAAATTACTAATTCAATCTTTTTACATGGTATAAATCTATTTGGATTATTTATTTCTTCTTGGGTCAGTTTTGTAGTTTGTATCTTTTTAAGGAACTTGTCAATCTCATCTAAGTTATCTAATTTATTGGCATACAACTGTGGTAGTTTTCCATAAGATCTGTAGTGGTGGCTCCTATTTCGTGTCTGATTCTGGTAATTTGAATCTTCTCTCTTTTTTTCTCAGTAAATCTAATTAGATATATGCCAATTTTGTTGATTTTTTTCAGAGAATCAGCTTTTGGTTTTCTTGATTTTTCTCTGTTGTTTTTCTATTTTCATTTTCATTTCTAATCTTTAACATTTCCTTCCCTCTGCTTCCTTTAGATTTAACATGCACTTCATTTTCCAGTGTCTATAGGTGCAAGGTTAGTTTATTATGTTGAAATCTTTTTCTTTTCTGATATAGTCATTTATATCTATAAATTTCCTGCTGAGCACTACTTTGCAGCATCCCATAAATTTTGGTATATTGTATCTTTAATTCTTCTCAAAGTATTTTCTCATTTCCCTTTTTATTTCTTCTTTGATCCGTTGTTTATCTAGTTTGCTTAATTTCCATATATGTATAAGTTTCTTAAATTTATTTCTGTTATTGATTTATAATTTAATGCCATTGTGGTCAGAGAACATACTTTGTTTGATTTGCATCTTCTTAAATTTACTTAGATTTGTTTTATAGTCTAGTGTGTGGTCTATCCTGGTGAATGTTCTGTGTGCACCTCAGAAGAATTTATATGCTGATGTTGCTGGGAGAAGTGTTCTATAGATGTCTGTTGGGTCAGGTTGGTTTGTAGTGTTGTTCTAGTCTCTATTTACTTGTTGATCTTCTGCCTATTTTTCTATTCATATTGAAATGGAGTATTGAAGTTACCAACTACTGTCATTGAAGTGTGTATTTTTTCCCTTCATTTCTGTCAGATTTTGCTTGATGTATTTTGGTGCTCTGTTATTAGGTGTACATATGTATATAATTGAATATCTTCCTTATGGATTGAAACTTTTATCATAATAAAATGTCTCTCCTTATCTCTGATAACATTTTTTTTAAGTTTTTTCATCTGATATTAATGTAGCCAATCCAGTTTTCTTGTGGTTGCTGTTTGCATGATATGTCATTTTCCATCGTTTTACTTTTAATCATTTATATTCTCTTCAAGAAGCATTCTGTTTTTGCCTCTTGATAAAAGGATGGCAAAGAGATTTAGCAAACTAATCATTCTCTATTTTACTTTGCTTTTCAGCCTTTTGTGTTGCTGGAGAACCCATTATCTTATTTTGAATGTCTCATTGAATTTGGAGTTCAAAAGTGATTTTTCTCTTTCCCACGTCTTGGGGAAGTTATAATATTTTTCAAAATTCATGAAATTTAAATTCCTATAGATAGGGCAGTAGACCAAAAGTTTTATAGTTACCAAGTTAGATATTAGGAAGTGCCTGTCTTCAGGCTTTATGCATATCCATTTGTTAAAAGTACAATGCTGTATTTAGTGTCTTAACATGTTTGTGTTGCCAGTTATGAATCTTAAAGAATTCTAGTTTTAGTCATTGTATTAAACAAGGAAACAAATCACCCATCAGTCAATTTCATGATATGAGGGATGTGCAGAGCTTTCTAGCAAACTTCCAATATAACTTTTTCCCTCAAAAGTACATATAAAATATACATTAAAATTTGCATTTCTATTTATTCTGTCTTCTTCCCAACAGAATTTAAAGAAGCTAGGTAGTATAAAATAGAATCTGCAATACTTAGATTTCAAATACCTTGGGAGAATGTGTCAATTTATAAATAATAGATACATAATGATGGAATATGCAAATGTCTTCCTAGTTTTGTTTGTAGATATAAGGTAAACTGTATTAGTATTTGAAGAGCTAAGCCTCCAAATTCATAGATAGGAGCCCAAACCATCCTTATAATTCTCACTTAGTTAACTATGTCCTGCTTTCTGGAGTTAAGGTTGTAATGTGAAGTTTTTAAAAGTGTAACTTTCTCATTGCCAATTAAATTTTAAATTTTCTACATACAGCTTGAGTATTTTAAAAAATGCAAGTAGATTTTTGGAAAAACAATTGTGAAATCACTGATACAAAATAGGAGCTATTATTAATTATATATGTAATTAAAATTTTTCCTCTAAAATAAATATTAAATAAAAATAAACTAAATAAAAATTTCTGTCTAAATATTATGTACTTCTTTAGTCTTGTTGATGTCACACTTTGCTAAATTCATTACATCTTTAGCTTTGGATTAGAAAACAATTATTCAAAGCAGCAAAATGAGAGGAAATGTGAGAAGTGCAGAAGCACTTAGGAAGGAGAAATACTGCACAGAGGAAACATGGCGTTGTTGACTTTTCTCCCAAGACAAAATTCTGTTTCAGGGAGGAGATCAGAGAAAACATTTCAATAATTCATGCAAACCTCACTAGTAACCTCTTTTCAAATATTTTCCTTTGTTTCCAACCAGATGTAATATTCTGGTATTGACAGAATCTTAGAGTGATTTCAAATTAGATGAAATGATAGCACATCACCTGATTTCTATCCACACACATTTTATAAAATATTTATCTAGGGCTGACAGATTGAGATTGTCAAAGTCACAAGAGCCGTTTGGGTTAAATTCTTCTTGGGAAATTTAAAACTGGAGGAGCAAGAGATAGAAGGAAGAAGAACCTTTTGTGGTCACTCCTAAAATCTTTTGCTAAAAAAATATTCTTTCGGGACATCTTTTATCTTGAAAAACAATACCTTTTGTGCTGTTTAATTGCTGTATCTACGAACAACAAAATAAAAATCAAAAAGAAAATTATCATAGTGACAATTTTTGTAAGCTACGCTTGTGAGATCAACTTGCAAATTAATATCTCTATTGTGCCCCTTATTAATCTGAGTTCAGGAATTAATTTTGGCTTATAAACACTTTTGTAACCTAAAATTATGTGATGAATGTTTGAGAGCTTTGTTCAGTTAGATAAATTTTTCCACAGTGAATTACGTTAGTTATGATTGAATTTTTTCTTCTACATTTGTATTTCATAGATATTATCTTTATTATAGTTGTTTTCCTTCAATTGACAAATAAAAATGGCAAGCAATAGGATATATTGGAGAATATGAGGAAGCCATTTGTTATAAACCTAATTCGGCCTGACCTTGTCTGTCCAAAAGGGCCTGACCGAGGCCATCGAGCATGCATTGTATATCTGCTGTAGAGATTCCCTATGGCAAGAGCAAAGGCCCTTGAGATAAAGGTGAAACATCCCTCCCCCTCCCAAAGTTGGCGTCACCTTAAGGATTAAGCATCTTTCCTTAGGCTAGAAACTGATTGCTGCGCTCACCTGTGACCGCCCAGCTCGAGACAATAGACTTGCCTCCTGCTACGCCCACCAAGATAGCAGACCCACTACCTGCTGTGTCCATCGAGTGCTGTGCTGACAGGGCAATCTTGTGACTATTGTGGGAGGGACATTTCAATCATATGTAAAGCACCCTCTTTGGGGGTATATAACCACTCTGTACACCTCATTTCTTTGGTGCCCTTTCTTCCTTCGGGAAGAAAGGCCCCGGGCCATGGTCCTCAGATTTCAGCTCAGAATAAACTCACCCAAATTTTCATTTACAGATTGGTTATGGATTATTTTTGTCGACACAATAAATATAATGTCTAATATTTAGAGATTTTCTACCTACTGTATCAACAAGATACTTTGGTACCCAAATAAAGACAGTTCGTTGTGTTTCTTCTTATTTGGGAGTACAGAAGCCTCAAACAAGAGTTGTATTTCTAGGATGACTGCTTTCATTGCCTCCTCTTCTCTTCTCTCTTCATGCTGAGAAGAGGAACTTTACGTTCTGTCTCGTTGGGTTTGACAGAAAAAGCATCTTCCAGGGCAACTGCTGCTCAGGAAATGTGTTCCTTTTTCCAGAAACTCTTTCTGAAACTACAGAAATCCTTTTTTTCCCCATGGTCTTTTCTTATTTTTGCTTAAAAACTATTCCCCTCTACCTCATTCTTTTTCCTGTGCTTAGTAATAAAAAGGGACTTCAATACTTTATCTTTAAAAAAAAAATGAAAAACTTTGAAAACTTTATATTTTTTCCTGCACTAAAGAATGCCGGAAACTTCAGTAGGAGGGCATTTTATAAAAATTAGATTGGAATGAAAAGATTTGTTGTTTGTTGCATTCCAGGACCTGGCAGACAGAGATGAGATTTGGGGGCACCTGGTTACTGTGGAAGAAAGCAGGTCATGGAAGGTCAATATGGGCATTCAAATCTGGAGGACCATTCCCAAGAGGAATACTTTTAGGGCCTGGGACTTCAGATGGTAGAATTAAACAAATCTTAATTCAACAGCAATCAGCAATATTGCTTGTCCAAATTAAGTGAAAATAAAGCTCTTGAAGCTGAAGTACCCCAAAAATACATTCTAAAGAGTTTGCTAATTGGTTTATTGTATTTATGGAAAATGCAAGTTAAGTCACCTTTGACTTACTGAGAGACTGATATTTCAGGTCTTTTTTATGTGCAATTGCAGGTTTATTTGCTTTATTTTTGTTTTGTGAATTAATTTTGATTGAGGACTGAACTATGTTAAGGACGAAAACAGATGCATAAAGATACCTATCTTTCCATCCTAGCTCAGGAGTGCTCTCCTGGGGGACACCAGTTTCTTCAGAACCCTTATAGAAGTGTCCATTTTGACTCATTGCACCTCCAGCAGTCAGCCTTGCAAGACCTGATATGTGACCACTCCCTTCCTCCCGGATGGTATCGATTTCTCATCTTTGACAGACCTGCTGAGATGCCAACCAAATGTGTTGAGGTATTTCAGACACTAAGAACTACCTGTGCTTTTTCTTATGTAGTTTTTCATATGAGGATTGAATCTTGTTACTACTGTTACACTAAAAATAAAGAGCCAAAATGAGAAGCAGGGAGGCATTTATTTTGGGATCAAAGAATTGTAATTTGGGGTACACAGATTTGGGTAGCAACCCAAATAGTGTCCCACTGGGGACTAAGAGGCAGGGGTTTTTAAAGGCAAAAAAGAGAGAATTGCATCATAAAGAAAGCTAATTGGGGTTGGCGCAGAAAGCTAGTCTTCCCTAAACTTCACTAAACTTAATTGATTGCTAAGGCTAGCTAGAGGCAGGGAAAAGTGTATCACTGTGACCACAGCAGGTTTCTTGCAGCGTCACTCAGTTCAAAAGCTCATGTTCTGCCCACTGAGAATATGAATTAGATTCATTTCCTTAATGGCTTCTTGGTTCCATTTTAAAGCCCTTACACATAAGTGACCCTGTTTTGTTTCACATTTCACACAACCAATTTATTACTCATGCCGAAATATTATTTTAATTTTGTATTGTAGGGGAGGAAGACAATTCCTCTACCCTCTAGGTCCTTCTGGCTGGTCTAAGAATTAAATTGACATAGATAGACTAACAGGACAAAATCAAACAAAGTTTAATAAGACATATACATGGGAGAAACCCAGGACAACTGAGTAACTCGCCAGAATGGCCAAATCCCACCATCTTTAATACTATCTTTAGCTCAAGACAAAGGAGGATGTTGGGGGTAATGATTTGGGACTTCAAAGAGGAGGAAGGCAATTCACATGGAGTTGGAAAAGTGATTGTTTGGTAGACAGAACTTTGATAAAAATGGGCTTAGCAAGGACCCTCCCAGTCAACCGATATCCAGAGTTATCTATGGTAATGGCCTGTCCTTAAGTTCTTTCAGGCAGTTATGGGGAAGGTCAAAGTTTCTTTCAGAGTCTCTTGTCCTTGAAAATAATCAAGCCAAAGAGACACATTGGGTGGCCAATCCTGATCCCCCACAGTATCAAGATTGATTCAGTCCAAAGAGTATTCCTATGTTCCCCTTTTAATAATAATAATAAAAGTTAATGTTATGCTCATGTAGTCCATGAAGTGATTTTAGCTACAGTATCCTATATAATTTTTACAACAACTCTAGAATACGGTCTATCATCATTATTTCTATCATACAGTTCAGGAGACATATATTTATTCTTAGGTGTAACGCTCCTAGAGTCATCAATCTCTCAGGTCAAACAGCCAGGATTTTGTCACAGGCAGTCATTCTTCAGGACTCATGTACTTAACCACAAATAACCTGCAAACAGTAAAATACTGTGTATTTTAAGTGCTTCAGTTCCTGTCAGTATTAAATAGAAGGCTCATTTTCTTTATTATTACCCACATTTTGTGAATTACACAGAAGCTGAAAATTTTCTCTTTTAAGCATGTAATGTAAAAAAACTCAGGAAAGCTATCTAAATTTTATGTTTAATTTTAAGTCGTGACATTGTTGCTGCCTTATTTTCTCCTTTTTGTTTGACACTTTTGTGACATTTCATTTGTGATAAACTAAAAAAAAAATCAGAATTTAAAAGTGAAATTTGAGGAAATTCATTACATCCTTAAATATTTGTGTTCTTTTCTTTCGGCTAAATTAACTATAACTGATTCTAGAACCTCGTACAAATGTGACGGTGAACTGATTTCCTGGCTCTTTTCCTGGAGGTGCACTAACACGTGGTCATTCTGCGCCCCATGGGGAAGTGTTCCTTGTCCTTACTCTCATTCCTTTCTTGAACCAAGACTTTAGAGCATTCAACCGAAGAATCCATAGAATTTTCCTTCACTCTACAGGATTAAACAAGTCTGTTTAAATAAATTTTTGTTTATGATACTAGCAAGTAAGTACATTATAGAAAACTTAGAAAATAAGGAAAGGACAAGTGATAGAATAACACTTATTCATAAAACATCCGCACAGTCATACTGCCATTAAAATTTTGCTATTGTTCTCTTTTATTTATATTGTTTTATAAGGTTCATGCTGTATGTTCAATTGCATAACATGCCTTTTTCAGTTATAGCATTAGCATTTGCATATGTTATTAAAAAATTCTTCAATATCAGTTTTGAAAATAATATTCTGTTATATGTATAGACCATATTTATTTAACTAGTGCCACATGTGTTCACCTTTGGGCTTTTGTAATAATAAGTAATTCTGCATTTAGCAAATATGCATATAAATCGTTATATTTTATTTGTATTTAGTAAGATTGATTTTTATAAGGAAATTAGTGAAAGTTAATGTCGTTTTGAGGTTTTTGATACATATAGCTAAGTTTTTTAAAAAAAAATGTAATGCTAATTTTTCATTCTAGTAGCAGTAGATAAAAATACTCTTTCTAATACTGAATATTCTCATGTATTCATTAGGTATCTGTATTCCTTCTGTGAATTATGTGTTTGTGTATTTTGCCCACTTGTGATCTTCTAGTTTTTAAATGGATAATATCACATGGTTAAAATAAAATAAGAAATATAATATTGAAAGAATAATAAACAATATACTAAATATAATGCTATTAACAATTTTCTCCTTATTTAACTCTTGTCTTATATTTTAAAAATTATTATTTAAACATAACTATCAATGTTTTCCTTTATGATTTTTCCATTGCTTTTAAACATGGAAATAATAATAATATTAAGAGTTATAATGTGGCTAATGATTATTGAGTCATTGCTATGTAGAGGTTGTGTTATGTCCATTATTTCATTTATACCTCACCACAGTGAGGTATAGATGTAGGTACTACAATGCACCTAGTACAAAAGTGAAAGACCGGTGCCTTGCCCAAAGTCATGAACTTAGTAAGTGCCTTGGTCCTTCCCAAATTACATATAGTTTCTTATTTTTCCTGGGATAGTTTTCTACTTAATTCCGTTTTCTGTCTGGAAATGATTTTGGTAATTGGCTTCAAATGAAGCTTTAACTTCATTTTTTCCCAAATTGCCAACAAATAATTGCGTCTAGACTTTGAACAATCCTTTCCTTCTTCCTTGATATTTGATGCCTCCTGAACTATGCATTCACTTCTTACATATAGTATATCCAGCAATTTTTCAAGAAACCTCCAAGATCAGTTTATCTTTGTGCTCTGTATTAAGATGACTTCAAATTGACTTATCTTGTCTTAGAATGTATCAGCTATTTTAGTAAGTTATATAATGAATTTCTCTTGTTTACAATACAAATGGAATAAAGGTATTTAAATCAAATAAGATTATATTATTTATGAGAAACCTGCCTTAAATTTAGTATTCCAAAAAGTTGCTTTTTCTTTTATATATCGTACAGTATATTAGCATATATCTTATATAGTATAGTATATTCGATTTTTTAAAAATGTTATAAATGTTGTTTAGAAGAAAATGCAAAGTTGATTTATCTACCTTGTATGAAAATAAATTGGGTTTTCAATTTTTGTTTTCTCTCATGCAAAAGATGAACCACTGTGGAACGCAGGCCCCCATTTGGCTGTCTCTGAGAGATTCAGAAACACTACCTTCCCCTGGAGAGGTTAAGCAACTGACAGCTTGTGCCACATGGCAGTTTTTGTTTAGCACTACAAAAGACTGCTGTCTTTTTCAAATCCCAGTGTCTGTAAGAAACTGTGGAACATTTTTTGTGTACTTACTACAACCCACTCAGGGATGTATGGGATATTGTGCAGAAGGTAAGAAAACATGAGTGGCACACATGAACTGCTAATCATGGAACTGTGTGTGTTGGTGTGTTTGTGTCATTCTCTGGATGGGTTGTGTTGAGCTAATGCAAATGTCAGTAAGAGACTTGGTCTACCATTATTGCTAGGGTGAAGCTAAATTTCTGGTTTTAATTTGCTAGATTTGTTTAGGATTCTTTGTCAAGATCTTAAAATCCTCAAAAATATTTGTTGATATGTAAGTATCAAAGCAGATTTCTTGTCATTTCTCCACTGACCATGATGATTGTGCTAAAAATTCTTTGATCTCCTTATGCCCCTTCGCCCTTTTCAATTAAAGGATGAAGGATGGTGAGTAAAAGTTATCATGAAAGCGTATGTCTTTCATGATATTATTCATGATATTATTCATGATTATTTCATGATCTTATTACATCTTTCATTCACCAATATTTATTGAATGTTTATTTTGTGCCAGGAATTATTGTAGACATTGGGGTTATGGTGATGAATAAGACAAATGGAATCTCTTCCCTCATGGAGCTTACATTCTAGTGGAATACCTCAGACAATATGTAAAAATAAACTTGTTATGACCCAAAGGATAAGATAAACATCTGTGAGTCCCTACTATATAAAGACGTGATTGGTGAAATAAATAAATGGAGGAAAGGAGACAGACCTTTCTTAAAGAAGAATTGCAAATATTTGCAGCTACTACCCTACCTGGAAGATGGAGCTTAACTTCCTTCATTTTGCTTGTGGGCTATGCTTAGTCACTTGCTTCCAAATAACAGTGTATAGAAAGGAGAATGTAGTGATTTTACAGTGGAGAAACCAAGCAGACACTACATTAATCAAGTGATCAGGGTTAACCTCACCAGTGACAATCTATGTTGATATCATGGACCTACTGATAACATGCAGTAAGATGCAGTTCTCCATTATGGTATTCTTCCCCCAAGGCCATAACCCGAGTATAATCATGAGAAAATTCACATAGACCCAAACTGAGAAACATTCTACAAAATATTTGAACAGTACTCTTGAAAAGTGTCAAAATCATGAAAAAACATGAAAGAGTGAGAAAATGTGCCAGATTGGAAAAGACTAAGGAAACATGAATAATGCAATGTGATGGTATCCTGGATTGGATACTGCAACAGAAAAGAACGTTAGTGGAAAACTGGTGAAATCTGAATATAGCCTTCAGGCAATAAGAGTGTGGTGTGCTCACAAGATGGAAAACAGGATAGCGATGTTGGATCTCAGTGAGCGAGGGACAGCATATCAAGACATGATTTGGAAGGGCAACAGGGCCTAATATTTATGGAGCTCTGCATTTTATTTTCTGTGCATTGAGAAGTCTTTGGAGAATTATCCTGAGAGAGTTAGCCAGTAAATCTTCACATTTCATATGCAGCTGCTGGCCAGCTAAACCTGGCTGAAAAGCAGTATGTTCAATAATGAAGGACAGCATCTGCTCAGTTAATAGAGCTAGTGTCATTCACTGGAAAGGAGGAATCCAGAGAGATGCATCAGCTTCATCGAGTGGCCAAGATGAGAGATTTTGAAAAATATCTTTTTAGTATTTCTTAATACTCTTGCCATAAGAAAATAGTTAAGTTTTATGAAATTTCAAATAATATTACCAAAGATTTGTGGAAAATTCTGTAGGTGTTTCAATGGAAGAAACCAACAATTTATCTACATTAAATTTAAGAAATATTGACAACTCTTAAAAATGAAAACAAAACTTCTACACCAGAGAATACCATAAAATCTAAATAATCACTTCAACAGAAATGTTATTATTGTTCAGTACGTTGAATTTAAACATTCAGTATTTAAAATTTTCATTTTCATGACATACCCTTAAAACTTAAAATACATTTCCTCTTTTGTTAATATCATTATCTGCCACTCAATTTCTCAAGCTTGGATATTCAAAATTATTTCTCTCATTCTCCGTATTCACGTCTTCCGGTTTTAGGAAAAGGGAATTTCTGGGAGATGATTGTTAGTTTTTCCTCTTAATGTATAAGTTATTAATCAGACATACACGAGAATTATCCTCTCTGATTTGCCAATAAAAGATTACCTTGAAATACCATTTAGACTTGAATTGGACTTCATGGATAGCAAATAAAAACGAGTCACTTAATCCACTTAAGAGTTTCTTTTTCTTGCTTACCAAGAATCTGGAGCAGATGTTTGCTGCTGATGGTGATTTGGCCACATTACAATGTCAAGCTTAGGTCTCTGTGAGTCTCTAGGCTTTTCCTTTGTGGTGACAGGATGAAGGTCTAGTTTTAGCCTTTTATCTGCATTTTAGACAGCATAAAAGGGGAAACAAAAGAGTTGAAAAGGGCTTGTACTAACTGAAACTTACCCCTTTCAAGGAAATTTGGAAAACGCCTTATCACAACTACTTCAGAAGAATTCTCTGACTTGTCTCTATCTTCAAAAGCAGCCTGTGAAATGTAGGTTTTTGCATGGACATATTTCTGCCCCAACCAATAGCACCCCTATGGCTATTGGGTAGGCAAGAGTCAGTTATATTTAGCTTAAAAATCTTCAAAACAGCAAAAATTAAAGAAAAATATTTTCACTCTAATATATTCTCATGACAGTGTTCTGCTTTTTTATAATTCATACATCATTTTCATACAATTTATCTACCCTTTGAGACCCTAGAAGCCAAATAAGAAATGAAACATTAATTCAAGATGATATTTGTAATCAATGCCATTCAAACAAAAAGATTTATATATTTTATTTATTTGGAAGAATCTATGGAAAAAATACTTTTTACATTTTCCGTATTTCTAGTTAGAAAGGTAGTTAAATCCTTATGCTATACATGAAAAGGCATCATATCAATTGAAAGTAGGCTATGAGAAGTTAAGGGTGTATACTATAAACCCTATAGCACCCACTAAAAAAGAAACCAAATATTGTAGCTAGTCAGCCAACAAGAGAGATAAAATGGAATCATAAAGTATACTCATTTTTTTAGAGATGCAGGAAAAAGTGAAAAGTGCCAATGGGACAAATAAAAAACAGCAACATGGTAGATTTAAACCCTGCCATATCAATAATCACGTTAAATATATACGGTCTAATCACCCCAAATGGAAGTCAGAAATTGTCAGATTGGATAAAAAAGTAAGACCCAACTGTAGGCTGCCCAGAAAAATCCACTTTAAATATAAAGAAAAATGAGGTTGAAAGGATAAGGATAAAAAAAAAGATATACCTAGGTAACACAAGTCACAAGAAATCTGGAGTGGCTATATTAATATTAGACAAAGTAGATTATAGAACAAAGAGTGTTACCTGAAAAAACAAGGGTCGTTTCCTAGTGAAAAAGTGGTCAATTCAACAACAGGACATAACAATTCTAAATATTTATGTACCTAACACCAGAGATTCAAAATGCGTGAAGCAAAACTTACAGATCTTCAAGAAGAAATAGGCAAATCTACGATTTATCTTGGAGATTAACACCCGTCTGTCAATAATTGAGCGTGTAGGAAAAAAAATGGCAAAAAATGGAGGAGATTAGAAAAACTCTATCAACCAATTTGATCTAAATGGCGTTTAGAAAAGATTCCACAAAATGATAGAATAATCCATATTCTTTGCAAGTGCGCATGAAACACTTATCAAGATAGATCACATTCTGGGCCCTAAATTAAGGAAATAAGAATATTAGAAAAAGTTTGAAGTTAATTAAAAGAAAAATCCACTGAACATCTATATTGGAAAACAAGAAAAGTCAAAAATTAAAGAATGCAGTTTATACATTAAGAGACTAAAAGAAGAAGGACAAATGAGACCCAGAGTAAGCAGACAAAAGAAAATAATGATCAGAGTGAAAATCAATGAAACAGAAAACGCGAGAAAATCAAAAGCTGGTTCTTTGAGAAATTCAATAAAATTACTCATTCTCTAGACAATTCTATCAGTAAAAAAGATAAGAAAGAAATTAGCAATATCAGAAATAAGCAAGATGATACAACTACAGATTTTACAGATGTTACAAGAATAAAAAAAGGATTTTTGTGAATAATTCTGCCAAGACATTTGACAAATGGAGCAGACAAATTTCTTGAAATACACAAAAACCAAAGCTCACTCAGAATAAATAGATAACCTCAATGGCCATATAGCTATTAAAGGAATTGTACTTCTGATTAAAATCTATCCCACAAACAAAACAAAAGAAAAAACCCACGCCCAGATGGCTTGGGAGTTCTTCCAAAGATTTAAGGAGAAAATAATACCAATTTTCCATAACTCTTCCAGAACAATGAAGAGGAAGGACTGATTCTAAACTTCTCTGAGGTCAGTATTATTCTGAAACTAAATCTCGCCATAGACTTTACAAGAAAAGAAAACTATGGAACAATATTCCTCATGTATATAAATACATATGACATGATCATCTTTTTAGGAAATCCAATGGAATCTACAAAATAGCTACTGGAGCTATAGAGTTTAGCAATACTCAAAGAAAAAAGATCAACAGATAAAAATCATTTGTATTTCTTTATATTAGCAATGAAGAATGAAAATTTCATCTAAAAATACCAATTATAGGGGCTGATCAAAATGCAAAATAAAAAAATAACTCAGATCATTAGTTTGGGTTGCAAATAACAGAAAACAAGTAGAAATAATGTTAAAAAAATTATCAACTCTAAGGATTTGAGGATGTGTCATTGAATTTGAGGAAGAGTTAAATAGAGAAGGCCTCAGAAGGTGTGGGCAATAGAGCAGCTCCCATGATCTTGGTAACAGGAGCTTGTAGTCATTCCTGGAAAGCTCCATGGTTAACTGGACTCAGCTTTCAACTCCTCATCTCTCAGTTTAAATTCTAAATTCTTCCAGGAAGCAATCTGATGAGCCTGTCTTTGTTCAGGTAGTTACCCTTGCTCCCAGGAACTGAGTTTGGCATTGGGTTGTAAGTATTACCACGACAGCTGTTGACTCATTTCTGTAATCCTGTGCACGATTATGAGGGAGGCAATTCCCAAGGAAGGGGTACCAAACCAACTGCTGTATAAATTTCTGGAGCTTATAATGTTTCATTACTTAATAATTCAGAGTAAAATTTAGAAAACAAGATATGAAAGCTATAATTGTTTCAAAATATAGTCTCAAATTATCTCCATTTGACCTCTCCTTAAAAGGGAAAAACTTTATTATGAAAAAAATAAGAAAAAGTTGTCTTACTCTATTAAAACATGCTCTCCGAAGAATTGTCATCTCAAACACTATATGTGTGTGTGTGTGTGTGTGTGTGTGTATCTTTATGCTCAGTTGAATAAATATACAAACCTTAACCTTCTCAGCCATTTCTGATGCAAAATTACACCCGTGTGGTCCTGACGAAATTGAAATTGGCGGTAACTGTGTTCGTAAGTATCACATTTTACTTTTTAATGATGTATTTATAAACTAATAATTTCAACAGGTTTTTATGTTCTGTGACTTACTGTAGATGTTGAATTATGTTAATATTTGTCAATGCTCCAGTCTAGTGGATATCAAAAATAAAAGTCACTTTATCATGCCTTTAAGAAATAGTCTCGGAGTTGGCAAAGGTATGGAAAGTGGAGCATGTTCATATCCTACAGACATGTGTGTATGTTGGTAGGATCTTTTTATAAGAAAATTTGGCAATATATCTCAATTCCTAAGCATTCACATATTTTTTTTCTAGCAATTCCACTTCTAAAAATCTAGCTAGAGAAATATTTTTGTGTGCAAGTTCAATATTTATAACAGCACTTTTCTAATAATATGAAAACAATAAGTTGCAAATATCCAGTAACTACTGATTGAGTCAATATTTTTATGCAGCCATATAAGAAAATATTCTATAAACAATATTAAATAAAATACAACAATACATTCTTTGACGTTAGTAAATATCCACGGTATATTGTAGCTAAGAAATCAGATTGTACAACACAATCTCAAATTTGCTTTCTAGGAATGACTGCATTTGTACCAAACAAATCTTGAAAGATAAGTACCAAAACTGTTAATGATGCTCACAATTTTTCTTCTCATTTGATTCTGTATTTTTCATTTTCTAACTTAGTAAAATTTCTTGAAGTTATTTCAAATATTAAGAAACCCCCCACCATAATACTTCTTAAAATGAATAACTCTAAACAGATTGTCTAATAAAATTTACAATGTCTACCTAAACAATGGGTAGAAATTAAAATCATTTATTGAAACATTAGCCTTTTTGTGGAGGCTGATGGCCAAATATATTGATGATGTGGTGATATTCTAAATGAATGAGTGATTGTTGACATATAATTAATATAAATAACAAAGATGTTTTTAATGGTGAAACAAATGATGACGACATAAAACAAATCAAGAGAGATCATATAGTATTAAATATCAATTCTTAAAATTAATTTGCTTTGTCTTGAAAAAGTACTATTATAATCCTCAAATAAATCACTCTGAGTTGCTTTTCTATGCCTTATTCAGTTGTAAATGGATTTTCCAGCCCATTTTTCCATTGTTCTTGAAATAAAGTATTATTTTATCTGAAAGTCTCAGTTCAATTAGACCCTGTGATTTAAGTTCTTAAGAGAATAAAATAATATCCCTAATAATAATAACATTAACCATGAAGTATAATTGTTTGGCTATTCTGCATAGTAGTTTTGGATTTTCTTTATAACTCAAATAATATAATAAAACCCTTTTTGCCCTTGAATAAATGATAAATTTAAGCTATTTGTCATGCTATTCAGAATGTTTATGCAATTAATTGGAAAAATTGCTATGCAAAATCATACACAATTTGGGAAGTAACACTTGAATGAAAATATTGAGTCAAAAGTCAACAGATAAAGCTTCAGGAAAAAATGGAGAATGCATTAACAGCATATACTAATATTAGAATTGACAAAGGGATAATAATTTTGCTTTTCAAGCATAAATAATTTATCTGTCGTTTTTGAAACCTTTTTCTTTAAGTACATTTTAATAAATTTTCTTTGATCTACATTGTTGTGAGCAATGATCAACTGACAGCACTTAAAATATTGATTCAAAAATTTTAATTTTCATGAGTTATTTTCCTTTCAGTCATTTGTCATCTCTTATTCCTAATACAGTCAAGCGTCGCTTAACGACAGGGATGCATTCTGAGGGGTGCACCCTTAGGCGATTTCGTCGTTGTGTGACCGTCATGGAGTGCACTTACACAAGCCTAGATGGTTCAGCCTACCACACACCAGGGCTATATGGTACTAATCTCATGGGACCACTGCCGTATATGTGGCCTGTCATTGACTGAAGTGTCCTGATGCAGTACATGGCTATAATCATTTCCACAGAGTTCTTCCCTGTTTGGAAATGAAGTCAGCTTCTTTTTCCTAGTTTATTTGAGAGGAAACTTTTACTCAGATATATAATTTTTCAAAAATCAATATATACTCAAAAGTAGTCTATTATTTCCTTCAAATCCGTGTATAATGTTTAACATATTTGGCAAAATAACTGTTACTTAGATTAATTTGAAAACAATTAATTTTATTATTTATTAATGTTTAATTTTTAACTAATTTTAATTAATTTTTAATTAATTAATTTTGTTATTATTTATAACAATTAATGTTATTGGGATTTTGCAATCTGATATCTAACAAAATAACACTTTAAAATACCTGAAAGTACATAAGGTTTTTCTCCCCTTCACATTTAGAATAAGGTCTGTCAGAACTTTCCAAAATCCACATGAGAGGACTGAAAAATTAATTTCATCATTATCATAAAATTACCATGTATATCATAGAAAAAATATTTTTCTGTTTTAGGACATTTTTAAAAATCTTACTTTAAAATTTATTGCTCAGATATTTTTCTCTTTTCTAAAATAGGACAAAATAAATCAAAACTCATGTAAAAACATTTTAGATCCCCAGATCTAATCTTGCAAAGGCCCAGAGCTAAAAATTGTAAAATCTTTCTGAATTCCTAGAGGAAACTTCAAACATTTTTAACCTCAGAAAAATGAAAAGGATAAGGCTATAGTTTAACACTTGGTATAGTTCACTGAGATTGTTTAATCACTCCTGTAACGAACAGCTCTTTCAATGCAGAGTAATGACGAGCTGAGTTATAAGAGGAAATTATGAGTAAAATAGTAAGTCATTTGACTTTACACTATAGTGACTATTTTCCTTTATAACAAGAAATTATAATGTAGAAAACCTTAATTTTGCTTGTTTGTTCCATCTTCTAGAAAGGATAATTGCTTACAAAAGGGTCATTTACTTTTATATTGAAGAGCTAGACTTTTCAAGGGTAGGCATATTCCATGTACATTAATAAAAGCTTGATAACCTGATAAATTTCTCTGCTTTCAATAGCTCTGTGATTATGGGTCAAAATAAGAACGTGCTACTTTGCTGATTGTAAGAGAATAATTATTTTTCTAAGTATATTTTATTTTTCCTAAATTTAATCTCTGAAATACAATATTCATAAACTTTTCCCATAGCCAGTCTCCGTTCTTTAAGAGGGGCAGTTACAAATTATGCCTCTTCTCCCATCAGGTCAGCTGTCTGCCTCATTGCCACCACCCGCTCCAGGACGGCCACAGGTTGTGGTGGAGCTGATTGAGTCCAGGCTTTTCTGCAGGTGTGCTTTTGACGTTTCCCCTACAAACAACTCTGTGGGATTTCTCATAGCTTGGTCTAGACTTTCTTCTCAAGAAGTCAAAGAGGAGCTGAAGCGAGAGACCACAGTTCAGGCATTCTCTCTGTTAGAACTGGATGGCATAAATCTCAGACTTGGAGACAGGGTATGTTCAAAAACAACTGGGTTTTCTTTCCTTTCATGAATGTATTAATTTTCAAAAGTGGATTTTTTAACACATCCTAAAAAAATATTTTCATCCCCAGAATATAAAGCACTAATGTTTTTCTTTTTATTTTTTCCTTGGCAGTTGTGCCAACTCCAGTAATAATTGGATGAGACAGTAATCTTCGTGACTATATATGAGTATCTTCTTTTAGCAGTTCGTTGATTATTATCAATGAATCTTTATAACTCTATCTCCCTTTCTGGTTTTAAAATGATATGCTTTTATTTTAGAAAAACTATTTAAATTTATCAATGATGATATCACTTATCCACTTTTAAATACATCTTTAAATACAAAGTCTACAACACTTTATGTTGGGATTTGAATAAGTATTTTATAATGATGGACTTTTCCTCAATTTTCAAGCAAATTTTTAAATTAGTTTTTGATTATCTCTCACGCACTATCTGCCAAAAATTAAAATCAAGTACTTAAATACAATAATTTGCATATATTTCCTCCATAATTTTATTACTAAATAATTAATTATTAACTGTATTCATAGGTATTCTGTAGTGCCTCTGTCTTTTTCTTGGAGGAACCACATGTACAAAGTTTAGCCATCGAAAGCCAAGAATTTTTTGCAGGCATTAAGGTATGTAGCACTGGGGATGGATCAAAAAGATTATTCCTCTGGAACTGTGCTTCTCATACTGTGATCTGTGGATGCTGGGTCCAGGACTTCATCACAGACTGAATGTTGAGACCCAAGAGTCTGTATTTTTGAAAAAATAACCCAAATAATTCTAAGGCACAACAAAGTTTCAGGGCCCCTAGTAATGAACTAAAATTTGAATATACTTGCATTTTTTTCAGAAGTAGCTCAAATTAAAATAAAGCAAAAGTTCTTTATTCTTTATTCTAAAGTTCCCATAATTCACTCCATCGTATAAATAAAGGAGTATCAGTTTTTAGTAATTATGCACTTTGGAAGACAGGTACCAGGTCAAGTGCTAGGGCCTCTGACTAGAGTAGAATTAACCCAGAAATCTGGGCTTTACGGACTGCAAAGATTGAGCTCGCTAAACAAGGCAATATCTGTGACCATCCTCGTAGTACCAGGGTCCAAGAACTGAGGAGCTACTCCAGGAGACGAGCAGAGGTGACAGGGAATCCGGAGTGGTGGGAGGAGTAGGAGCGGTACCAAGAGGGCTAGGCAGGCAAGCGCTGTGCACCTTCTGAGGTCTCAGCCACGGGACTGGAGTTTCACCTGGACTCATCTCTAGTTCAAGGAGAAGATGGGATACTCGATAGATTGTGAGAATAGAACTCAGAACCAGGACAAAGCCTGTTCCTGCATAAAGTCCGTTTATACACAATAGGGACCAGGGAAAGGAGTGAGAAGAGTGAACTAAGTTGTCAGAGTAGCACAATCACAGTGGGAGGGGAAGCAGAGCTCAGATCTTGGAAGCACAGGACCTTTGGATGCACGTTGGTAAGAACTCAGCAGACATCAGGGCTAGTGGTCAGCCCCCAGGGACTGTTTCTGACTGGGCTAATGGAGAAAATTCAGTGCTAAGAAATATCTATTTTGAGAGCTAGCCAAGAACTGAGACTGAGTAAAAACTTCCTGCCTCAAAAAAAGGATTGGGCTGTGAACTGGCATAGGACCAGTCCCAGATTTCAGTACTCGGTAAATCCAGCTGTGGGAAGCAGAGGCTGAGAAATAAGCAGAAGGTTGAGATGTTTCAGGCGACAACATTTTGATTTATGTTTTAAAACTTAGATTTCTAATTTATATTAGGGAAGATAGTAATCCCTAAGAATAGTCTCTTCCATTGACGTGTCAGTAAGTATTAGCAAAGAATGGAAGAATATAGGAATCGTTCCGTCTCCTTCATTCTCTAGCCTGCCATGGAACTAGAATCACTAAGGCAGCCTCCCCCCAGACTGCCTAACAGTTGGGGAACCGAATTGTGCCCTAAGCTCAGAGCAGAGGAAACTCCATGTACTCTTCTGTGTGTTGCTGATATTTTTCAGGGTTTGGATTTAATTGATCTTGTTTAATTCAAAATTCCAGTGCTTAAGTTCTTACTACCAGCTCATTTAGCAAAATAGGAACTGCTGAGAAAAATGCCCTTTCAAAATTATTCTATCTTAGAAATAAATTCTGTCTTTACCTAACTGCTCTCTGTATTTTCTTATACCAGTTACAACCTGAATTGAGCACTATATCAGAAGATGGGAAAGAATACCAGTTGAGGATAGAGAGCACAATTCCGATTGTTTGCTCTGAATTCAGTGAGCTTGATCAGGAATGCAAAATCTCATTAAAACTGAAAACTGTTGATCAAGGTAATATACTAAATTCATGTAATTTTATTATTAGACTTCAAATAATAACTAAAGCTTTTTTTTCTTCTAGAAAATATCGCTGGAGTATACTCATATTTAGTTATGTTGCATGTTTCTATCAAATTATAGCTCAATCGTAGTAATAATACTGGGGCAAATTTATGATTTCCAACGCAATCTACATTGTAATCCACATTTATCTCTCCTGGGCTTGAAGCATAATTTTACAAAGCAACAATATTGAACAATCTCCTCCCTGACATCTTCTTTCTCCTCCTCCTCTTTTTCCTCCTCTTCTTCCTCCTTTTTTCTTCTCCTTCTTCTCCTCACCCTTATACTTATTCTTCTCTTTGCTCTGTTTTCAGAGATTGAGGGACAAGCTGCTCTTTATGATTTTCCAAATCATTCCTAATGAGGGAGATGTGATAAGTTATGCTCAAAGTTCAAGCTTATGCAACGTGGATCTCATAATGCATTCTTTGCACTTCTCTCCTAAATGTAAGCTTACGTTTGAGATCTTTAGTTTTAAAATTCTTCTATTTCTGAGGCCGGCCCGTTGGTGCAGCAGTTAAGTTCACACGTTCCGCTTCGGCGGCCCAGGGTTCGCCAGTTCGAATCCTGGGTGAAGACATGGCACCGCTTGGCAAGCCATGCTGTGGTAGGCGTCCCACATATAAAGCAGAGGAAGATAGGCATGAATGTGAGCTCAGGGCCAGTCTTCCTCAGCAAAAGGAGAAGGATTAGCAGCAGATGTTAGCTCAGGGCTGATCTTCCTCAAAAAAAAAAAATTATTCTAATTAATTACTAACTTTATAGATTGTATCATGCACGGCAGCATATATATCACTGTCACAGCCATATATAGAGAGAGATCCCACAGAACAAGATAGAATATGAAAGAACAAAGCATGTATAGCAGTGATTGAGTTGATTGGGTTCTTTCTTTCCCTGTTAATCCTCTGATGTAGAGACCAAGTCATGTAAGAGATACAATAGCCACCTCTTCTCCGCAGTTTCAGTTTCCATGGTTTCAGTTACCCTGGTCAACCTTGGCCCAAAAATATTAAATGGAAAATTCCAGATATAAACAATTCATAAGGTTTAAATTGCACACCCTTCTGAGCAGTGTGATAAAATCTCGCACCATCCCACTTTGTCCTGACCAGGATGTGAATCCTCCCTTTTCTAGTGGATCCATGCTGTGTATGCTACTGGCCCATTAGTCAGTTAGTGACCATCTCCGTTATCAGATTGACTGTTGTGATATTGCAGTGTTTATGTTCAAGGAACCCCTATTTTACTCAATAATGGCCCCAAAGTGGAAGAGCAGTGATGCTGGCAATTTGGATATATCAAAGAGAAGCTATAAAGTGCTTCCTTTAAGTGAAAAGATGAAAGTTTTCAACTAAATAAGGAAAGAAAAAAATCACGTGCTAAGATCTGTGGTAACTTTTAGTACAGTATATTCTTATAATTTGTCTATTTTATTATCAGTTATTGTTTAATCTCTTACTATGCCTAATTTATAAATTAAACTTTATCATAGGTATGTACGTATAGAAAAAACATGGTATATATGGGGTTCAGTTTCTATTTGTGGTTTCAGGATTCCACTAGGGGTCTTGGAGTGTATCCCCCATGGGTAAGGGGGGACTACTGTTCATAGATTAAAATATAGCCTTTAAGGGAGATTACAATTCTGCTCGCATACCTTTTCACTATAGGACATAAAATTTTATTTCATAAATACACCAAATGCAATGTATCTAAGTCTTTATGTCTATATTATATCTAGCTAAATCAGAGAAACAAAAGGATAAAAATGCTAGCAGAAAAAGTCTCATGGGAATCATGCAACCAGGAATAGAGATGGGTGTGGAGATAGAAAGAGGAATCAAGAGAGACTACCTCAAGATAGTTGACAGTAAACAGGCTTAGATAATACCCAGCTACTTAGATTTCATGTGCAACACTACATTTTGAAATATAACCCAGAGATATGAAATTAAACCCACTCTCTCAGAATGTCTGACACAATTCTACTTCAAGCCATCTCTCAAAAGCGTATTAGGCAAATTTTACTGCAATTTATGGGGGAGAATAGGAAAAGGATGACCTGATTGATATTTTCCAAAATTGTGTTAGGCAAAGATTTTGTTCAGTTACAAGTATACTGCAAACTATGTTTGTATACTCTCAGTTCTGTTGACCTTAAACAAATAGACAGCCAGTTATTTCCTCAGCCAAAATGGGTTTGTTTAGGATCAGCAAAGAATTACAATTCGGGGTCTGCAAGTGTCGTGAGCCTGGTGCAAGTTCCCAGCAGCAAAGGGAAGAGAAACTCTTTTATAGAGGGGAGGAGGAAGTTGGGAGGGCTATTGTAAACTAAGAGTTCAAGGTGTAGTGGCTTTTCATTGGCTCCTTGTGACAGTCTCATTGGCTGAGTTTCTTGCTGATCAAAAAGAGGAAGTCTTTCTTCTTCCTGTTGGGCTCTGCTATGGCTGTAGGGTATGAGATGTCCCTGGCTCCAATTTAATGAGGTTTCTGTTTATTACTTTCTACATCCTATCAACAGGCAATCCTTGCTATAATAATAAAAAACAGCCTAAATACATTCCCACATTTTAGAAGTTTGCTTGTTCTTATTCTTTGTCAATTAAAAATGATTTCCATTTTTTTCTGGAGAAAATGTCCTGGATATTCTCATCTCATCTTTTTAAAGTATATCTCTAATTTCATAGAGAACAAGTCAGTGTCTCCTAATATATTTCTACAAAGACCATGCTGCTTTTTCTACAGGCTTAAAGAGAACAACACTTGGCCCTCATACCACAGACCAGAGGAAGTGATGTCAGGGGCTATATCTAAGCCAGATATATTCCATGTTCACCTTAGGAAGCTGGTTATGAGTTTGGATGTTTCTGTTATTTTTTTATGTGTATGAGAAAATATCCATTTCTAGAAAAAATGCATGAACAGAAATATTTTTTCAGGAATTTTGAATCTAGTGCAGTATACCTATGTCTGACCAATATAATTTTATACCTGAAAATGATGTGTGGAAGAAAAGATAGAAAGTTTTTGATGACTTCTTTCTTCCTCCTTAATCTCAGAAGGACTTTGGAATCATTAATTGGATAGAGAGTTAACTTTCTCTGTGGCCAGTTTTGGGAGGAATCTATTCTTTTTTTTCAGTTACACAAATTCCTAGAGTTCCTTCGTTCTTTTCTGTTACCGTTTTCTTTTCAAATTATTTTTTCTTGTTCTTTGTCCCGTAGGCAAGGGAGCATGTCGAGGTTCTGAATATATTGGGAGATTTGAGAGGTGAAAAGAAGTAGAGAGTTTACTACTGGTGTGGAATTACTTAATTTGTTTTGATTTTTCTATTTTTTAAGATGATGAGCCCTGTATCAATAATTAAACCTGTTTGATGAACCCTGTATCAATAATCATTGCTGTCACTCAACAATGGATAGAACATGAGTACAAGCCCTAAGAAATATCACAGGCATATCTGGACCCAAGGCCCAATTCTTAGGGAGAAAAAAACTCAAATTAGGTTTCTTGGTGCTAAAATTATTGAATTTTTTGCAGAAACAAAGATAAATTTTATATATTGCTTTTGAATTTTATCCAGGTGCATATGGATTTATAACTTTATTGGAAATAATAATATATATGTACATATATATGTATATATTGAAGTTGATTAATTCTTTGTAAAGATCAAGTATAGCTTTGGGTTGTTTTTTATTTAACTGTTTTATTGAGGTCATATTGACTTACAACACTATGTAATTTCAGGTGTTCATTATTATATATCAGTTTCTATATAGACCGCATCGTGTTCACCACCAATAGTCTACTTTCCACCCATCACCATACATATGTGCCCCTTTACACCTTTCACCCTCTGCACTATGCCCTCCCCTCTGGTAACCACAAATCTGTTCTCCTTATCCATGTGTTTGTTTATCTTCCACGTATGAGTGAAATCATATAGTGTTTGTCTTTCTCTGTCTGGCTTATTTCACTTAGCATAATACCCTCAAGTCCATCCATGTTGTTGCAAATGGCACTATTATGTCTTTTATTATGGCTGGGTAATATCGCATTGTATATATATACCACATCTTCTTTATTCATTCATTGATTGATGGGCACTTGTGTTGCTTCCAAGTCATGGCTTTCCATGTCTTGGCTTCAATAGCCTTGGTTGTTTTTTTTTTAATTTGAGGAAGATTAGCCCTGAGCTAAATGCTGCAAATCCTCCTCTTTTTGCTGAGGAAGGCTGGCCCTGAGCTAACATCCATGCTCATCTTCCTGTACTTTATATGTGGGATGCCTACCACAGTATGACTTGCCAAGTGGTGCCATGTCTGCACCCGGGATCCTAACTGGCCAGCCCCGGGCCGCCGAAGCAGAATGTGCGCACTTAACCACTGCGCCACTGGGCCAGCCCCCAGCCTTGGTTTTATTTAGACAAAAATTACAGTCATGTTTTTTAAGTAAGAGAAATTAATTTAAGAATAATCTCTCAATTCAATATTTCATGTTAATCGAGTTATTACATCTTTGGTTGGTATATTCCCTTAGAAAAATTCTCAATGTGTTTTTTCACAAAACAGGTACAGAACAGCTAGGCTTAAATTTGGCGCTGTCTTCCTGTCACGTGGACCTTCACCGGACACCATCCTGTGCTAATGGAGCCTGTAGCCATGCTTTTGTGCACTACACTGCTGTGACGGATTGTACTCAAGATGGAGATAGAGTTACAAACATCGTAGTGGAACCTATAGTGAATGAGGATTTCCTGTGGAACAGCTACATTCCAGAGAGCATCCAGGTCGTCAAATTACAAAAATATGTTTCCAATTGAAGCTTTAAAATAGATATGTGTATTTTATCACTACACTTTGTAAACTTTTCATTTCACAATTATTTTATGTTATTTCAGTTTTTAAATGATCCAGTATTCAATAACTATGATAAAAACAATAATTGAAAATTCGTTGAGATTGCTAAGAAATTTATTGTATGTCACTAAATAACAATAGTAATATTTACTGAAAATATCTTTGCTTTTAAGATCAGAGTAAAGGATGTCCCAACTGCTTACTGCTATTCATTTACTGACCCACATATAATTACATTTGATGGCAGGTAATTTCCTGAAAGTTTTTTCTTTTAGCAGTTTTTGTTTCTTTTGGATTTTGTTGTTGATTTATTTTAAGCATCATCCTATTATATTATTTCTTAGTCCTAGTCACTGAAATTTAGAAAGGAAGGGATGTATGGACATCAGTGGCTTGTTTCAAAATATTAACTTATTTGTGTGTAATGTTTTTGCCTTAAAATCTAGTCCTTAGTGGGGCTGGCCCCGTGGCCGAGTGGTTAAGTTCGCGCGCTCCGTTGCAGGTGGCCCAGTGTTTCGTTGGTTCGAATCCTGGGTGCGGACATGGCACGGCTCATCAAACCACGCTGAGGCAGCGTCCCACATGCCACAACTAGAAGGACCCACAACGAAGAATATACAACTATGTACCAGGGGACTTTGGGGAGAAAAAGGAAAAAATAAAATCTTTAAAAAAAAATTAAAAAAAAAATCTAAGTATATTTAAAAAAAAAAAAAATCTAGTCCTTAGTAAATATAAGGATTAGTTGTGAGGCTGAATTTGTAAAAATAAAGATTCTTACAAATACAGACAATTATTTTAGCTTACCATTTATTTGTTTTTAATAATGTTTAAATTATCTGCTCTAGAGATATTTACTGTACTGCATTTCCACGTGATTCTGAAACAATCTTTAAGTTGAGGCAAAATGATTACACTAACATGTTAAAATTATTTTAAAATCTAACCAGTTCTAATTCATGGCAAGGATATTCAGGGAAAAAAAAAAACTATTGTAGCCATTATGAATACCTGGATATCTGCCTCTGGAAATTAAAATACAATGGGCAAAACAACTAAAAAGTAATATAAGCTGTCTTGCTATTAATATCTGCATAGAAGGATTTAAACTTAGTTATGCTGTTCTGGGGAATTCATGATTTTAAGATGTCCCTAAAGAAAATGATAAGAACACATCATTGTTGAGTCAAAATCTTCTCCATTCTTTCTTAAAAATTGTAATACGATCATTGTCACTAAAATTATTTAATACAAATAAACAGATATAGAATGCTTCCAGTAACAAATTATACTCCAGAGGTTTGAACAACCATTGAAAAGTTGTAGGAACTGATCCCATATGGAAGAATCCTTTATGGTTATAACTAAAAGCTAGGAAGCTTTAGTGGAAAAACCTCAAGAAATCATAGTGGTGATTACTTTAATTCATTATAATTCAACAAGATCACTTGTGCAACAACTCAGGGACAAACCATGTTCTGAGTGCCAAAAGTATGGCAGTGAACAAAACAGACAAATGTGCCCTGCTCTCACGGAGCTTACCTTTGTATAGGTGAAGAGAGGTATACACAGTTAATAAATATAGAGAGTATCTGAGGAAGACAGATGCTATGAAGAAAACGAAAGCAGTGGCAGAAAGAGAAGTCTGGAAGTAGGGGTTGACTGAAGCAGTGAAATGAAAGAGAAGAGTAGTAAGAGAGATTCAGCTGTTTATCACCACATTGTTTCAGTCAATGCTCTACAAATAAATGCTAGAGATAGATAGAGCTAGCAGAAATAAAGATTTTCATTCTTGCATCAAAATATATTGAATGTGTATAAATAAACTTAAATACACATTTTTGGTTTATAACTATTGTGATATTTTATACCAATTCTTAATGCAATTGACTTTTGTTAACCATAGAGCATATGACAATTTCAAGACCGGAACATTTGTGCTTTATAAGAGTGTGTCACGTGACTTTGAAGTCCATGTACGTCAATGGGACTGTGGAAGCCTTCAGTATCCTGTGTCATGTAACTGCGGGTTTGTTGCCAAAGAAGAAGGTGATGTAGTTACTTTGGATATGTGCAGTGGTCAGCTACATGAATCACAGCCGTATTTATTTGTAAAGAGCCAAGATGTAACCAGCAATATCAAGATAAGTGAATCTTACTTAGGAAGAAAAGTCACAGTATGTATTTTCATAACTATTAAAAACATTTTTCCTTACTTTCTGCAGATTTGGGATTAAAATCTGAACTTCTTTTCACCTCTATTAAATTAGATGCTATCATTTTTCACCATTAATTTTTTTAAAGAAAATAGCTTTTAAATTAACACAGATTTTAGAAGGAATAAAATTCTTTACACTTACCACACACAAATAGACACAACATAGTTAAAACTTTGTCAAATCTAAGCTCCTTTATTTTAAAATTTCAGTATGATAACTTGGTAAGTTAATCATAAAAATTATTTTTGACAGTGTCTAATAAATGGTATATTAGACAGAGATGAAATATATAATTAAGGAGAAATATTCAGGAATAGCTAGCCAGTTGAAATGAATACAAATAGTTCTGCCTCAGGAATAGGCTGGTAGATACTTGTATTTTAAGGTCATCTTCTTGTCATCTTCCAAAAAGGTAAATTCCAGGTGAATAAAATTTAAATTTAAGAGAAAGTAGTAGAAAATGTAGGCGAATGTTTTTATAACGTTGAGGTGAACAAGAATTTTTAACATAACGTCATATGTTTGAATTCCATCATCCAAAACCAAAATGCAAATTAAAAATTGGGAAAATATTTGCTACGTATAAAACTTACGGTCAATAGAGAAAACACTCCTGTACCTCACTAATGTATAATGGGCACTGCAATTAAAAGGAGCCAATAATATAAACAGGCAATTCACAAAAGAAATGAAACTGACAAATATGTTAAAATGTACAAATAACAACATAAATCTGAAAACCTCAGCCTCATTAGTAATCAAAGAAATGCAGATCAAACATCTCTCATACAATATTGGCAAGAGTAAAAATAGTTACAATCTTTCCAGAAGACACATATATTATTTATATATTTATAAATTGAATCCATGCATGTTATTTTGTCAAGAAATAGTAATTTTCTTTTGAAAATTTATCATATTAAATAATTAAGGATGTGTGTAATCCCAATGATGTTCATTGCATCTCTCCTTATAAGAGGGAAGAGTTACAGTAAATCAGTGATGACTAAAAGAGTTTAACCAAAACCCTAAATAGAGCGATGTCATATAATAGAACACTTTGTAATCATGAAAATTTTGGAGTAGAAGTGTATTTATTGACAGGCAAGGATATTATTGTAACATAGGAGAGGTTTTCGAAGAATTTGCACCAAGATCTTAACATTAGCTACCTCAGATTGAGTAGTAATGTAAGATTTGTTTGCTTTTAAAATAACTTTCTGTAACGAACACTTACATTTTTAAAAAGAAGTGCAATTTTTAAATTTGAAAAATTAAAAGGGAAGGGGAGGCAGAGGAAGAAATACAGGTGGTGTATCTTCAGTGAGTTTTGGAAGAGTGTTTCTCAACCCATGCGTCCAAGACCCTCGTCTGGGAGAGGTGATACTCCTGTGGGGAGGATCATAATTAGACAACACAGACTATTAAGATAATTCAACAAACTCCCCTTGGTCTCATTCCCAGCTCCCCAAGCAATGTTCTGGTTATAATTTGCCTTCTGATTCTGTTTGCCTACCAGCAGCAAGAGAATGCTGATGAGCCAAGGAATATGTACTCCTTGGGAATTGTATTTATCTGTGTAAATTAATTACTCAGCAGTCTAGTTCTATGTTAAATTATTATCAGAGACATTACTTGGTACACATTATCCTCAACATTTATAGCTGTTTTAGTTGTATAAAATATTGCACTTTGGTTTAAATTATTTAAAGAAAGGAGTTTGGACAATGTATCTCAATAAGAGAATCAATATGAAGATCAAATTTCAAGTCAGCAAAATGCACAAACCCATTATTTTGACATATAGCATTAAAAGGAAAGTTGTAGTCTAAGGAAAATTGGTATTTTATTCTCTTTTTATATTGAAGGAATAAATGAGTTTGGTTTTTATTTCTTAAATTATAGTTTTTTTCTTAATCCGTATTAAATATCATTTAAATGATAACTTTTATTTCTGTATTTTAGATCTGGTTTTCTTCTGGAGCGTTCATCCGTGCTGATCTTGGTGAATGGGGCATGAGTTTAACAATCAGAGCCCCTAGCTTAGATTATGGAAATACTTTGGGACTTTGTGGCACTTTTGATGAGAACCCAGAAAATGATTTCCATGATAAAAATGGGATCAAAATTGATCAAACTTTTAATAATTGTGTTGCTTTTATTAATGAATGGAGGTAAGAAAGTAAATTATTTTTCATTTGTGATTATATTAATATTAAATTTAAATTTGTGTAACTCAATACTCTTCTTTTTTTGCAACACATTCCTGGGAGAAAAATGTTCTTGTCCAAATTACTATTCTTTTTTTGGTTTCCATCTGGAAGGATTTTACCAGGAAAAAGCATGTTTGACACCATGCCAATTTCTCTGCCCTCGCCTGGAAAACTATCCTATTGTCGCTGCTCATTGGACACACCTTCATTGTATCCATCTTCTAATCATCTGGATAGTGGCTCTCAATCAGAAGTTATTTCACATTGCAAAGACCTCCCACACATCAAATTCTCTTCCTTGATACCAGAACTAGATGTCACCTCTGAATATATTAATTCAGAAGCTCTTCCCGGAGAGATAAACAAGCATACACTTCGAGAAGAAAATAATTTGAATTTCTTTCCTCAAGACAAAAATCATGTGAACCTAACAAAACTGGACGTAAATTTACAAAAACATCTTGGGAGTGAAAAACGAGGTGCACCAAAAACTGTGGACAATGGGAGACGCACATGGGACCAGGGGGGTCACAACCAAGAAATGAGGTGGGATCGACAGCGCAGATGGAAACGGCAAAGCTTGTATGAGTTTCCTCCATTTTTTGCTTTCCAAAGTCTCAGCCAAAGTGACCTAGAAGAGTTTGCTTATTTCTTCCCTGAGGACCATGCTGAGGATGTCCACCAAGAGTTTGTCCCCACGTGGCCCACCCCCTCTGGCCTCACCGAGTACAGCACCTTGGAACTGTGTCAGCAGAAGCTAGCCAACTCCAGTGTAGGAAGGCGCTGCCTTGCCTTTCTTGGCAAGAGACTAGACAGTGTTATAGATATGTGTGTTAAGGATGTTCTGCTAAAAGACGATCTTAGCTGGGCAGAAGCAGGTGTAGCCCTGTTAGAAAATGAATGTGAAAAGAGGATTTTGGAAGAGGGGAGATTGAACACAGAAGAATACGGCAGGTCGATGGAAGACATTCTCTTGGTATTAAAATGCCCCAATTTATGCAGTGGCAACGGGCAGTGTATGGAATGGGGGTGCGCATGTTCCCCGGGCTTTAGTTCCTACGATTGCAGTGATTCGCACGGTAAGTAAATACTCTCCAACTTTGGTATTGTGTATGTTATTTGATCATGAAAACATCTTTGTTCTTTTTTACCTTCACTATCTTAACAGGGTTTATTCAGATTATGTAGGAAAAAAACCCTCAAATTATATTAATTAATACCTCAATAATTTCCAGAAGTGTCATATCCTATTCAGAATAAAAGCTGAAGTGCTTATAATGGCCTATATGGCACAATGTCATCAGACACACACTATCTCTGGAAACTCATCCCCTACTACTGTTGCCGTCACTCATTGCACTCCACCCACTTTGGTCTCTGTGCTGTTCCTTGAAAATGCTGAGTTCTCTTGACCTCAGGGCCTTTGCACACAGCTGTTCCGTCTACTAGTAGAGAATAATTGCTTTTCTAGGACTTAAATTTAGTATTTTATAAGCACTGTGTTTATAATATTTTGCTAATTATATAAATTTGCTAATTTTTTTCTAACCCATCTATATGGTACAAACTATTTCGTCTCAATACATTAGAGAAAGAAATTTTAAAAAGCCATTTTGATTCCATTAACTACTAAACCAGTAACTCCTGATTTTCCCCCTACCGCCACCATCCTGCCTCCTTCCATCTGCAGACTTTTCCATTTCAGTAAATGCAAACTTTATTCCTCTAACTGTTCATGTTAAAAACCCATAGTCATTTTGACTTTTCTTTTTCTCTCATGTGTCATTTAATCTATTAGCAGCAGCCTCAACTCTAGCTTCAAAGAATTTCATCTCTTTGCCTGCTACAGCCTTGATCAAGACCGCCACTCTCTCTCACCTGGATTATTATAGATTCTCTCAAAGTTTATTCTCCATGCAGCAGCTACAGCGATCCCTTTTAAATGTAAATCAGATCATATTACTCCTCTGCTTAAATACCTCTAATGACTCTCCATCTCCTTCCAAGTAAAAGCCACAGTCCCTACCATGGCCTAGAAGACCCTACAAAATCTGAGTCTCCTCTCTCACCAAATTTATCTACCATTCCCTCCATAGCTCCCTCCAGTGTTCTCAAGTGATTGCTTTGCTGTTCCTCTAAGAGGCCAAGCCTGCTCCTACCTCAGGACCTTTGCACTTACAGCTGTCTCTCACTGGAGCATTCTTCTACCACGTCTTCATGACTGAATTCCTTCTCTCTGTTCAAATATCATATTATCAAAGAATCCTTCCATGGTCGTTTAAAATAAAGTACTTTTTATCACACTATCTCATAGTCTTTGTCTCCCTTAATGTAGTTAATATACTTTTTCTCCATAGTCTTGAAAACACGTATGCGATACATGTTTTGTTTTGGTTTTTTTTTTGCTAGGAAAGATTCATCCTGAGCTAACATCTGTTGCCAATCTTCCTCCTTTTTTTTTGTCCCTCCCCAAAGCCCCAGTACATAGTTGTATATTCTAGTCATACGTCCTTCTAGTTCTTCTATGTGAGCTGCCACCACAGCATGGCTACTGATAGACAAATGGTGTGGTTCCATGCCTGGGAACTGAACCCAGGCCGCCAAAGCAGAGTGTGCCAAACTTTAACCACTAGGTCATCAGGGGTGGCTCGAGACACTTTTAACAACATCAAATAAATAGAAGTTGCTTAGTAAATATTTGTTGAATATATGAAAGGGAAACTAATACATGTTTTTTAAAATTTTCATAAATATTTTTAGGTTCTGAGTACACATAACTTATGATTTTGTATCCTATTGTCAGTAAAGTTATATTCACTTAGATTTTGCCAATACTTAGACAAAGGACTCAATTACTTTTACATATTGTATTTATCTATTTTGACAACCAGATCTTGCTTATATAGGTAGTATATGATCTGACGAGATCAGGCACGTTCAGGGTGATATGGCTGTAGACGGGTAATGTATGATCTTACTAAGAACAGCAATGTTACCATATGAGGGTCAGTTAACTCTGACTGCTAGATGAAATTTTTCTTTCTGTGACTGAGAAGTACACTTAAGATTATGGTAGCTTACAGGACAGCAATAATACATTAAAACGTCAACAATACTACAATGGCAGCATACTTAAATTTTGCTAACTCCTTTCTAAAGCTTAAACTAAGGATTTAAAAAATTTTAATACATTATATTGTTAACTGCACTATTTTATTACAAAAATATTTTTTCTTTAACCCATCTACATGGCACAAACCAAAATGGCAAAATGAAAACACAGGCCATTATAATAGTAATTTCTTAATACATGACCTTAATTGATATCAAATATTATTATAACATTAATTAATTAATTAAACTTGTATATTTAGGTACAGTAGTACTTCAAATACAATTTTTGTTGGTTTGATGGTGGATACATTTTTAAATACCGGATTACTCTTAACATTTAATGGTTTAATTAATTTACTAAATAATATTTGGGGCAGTCTTTGAAATACTACTTCACATATTTTTAATTTGGGCCTTGAAAATAATTAGTTTTTTTCTGTAACTGAAGAATATATGTCCTATTTTGTTATCACTTTTTCCAAAGACAAAGCTCCTGAAATTATAGAACTTGAGAATGCTGGATTCTGTAATGTTCGAAAATACAACTGTATGATGGTGAGAGTTTTCGGTCAAGGCTTCAAAGAATCACCTTCGTTTAAGTGTGAAGTTACTAAACTGCAGGTATGTTCATTATAGACTTGAAAAACAATTAAGTTTATAGGTTATTCAGATTAATTTTATCTTGGAATAACTTGGTTTTGCAATTAGCAACGTATTTCCAAAGATGTCATATCCACAGAGAGCTGAACAGGAGAATGATTAAGTTACTGAAACTTAATATTTAGAAAATATTTACATGGGTAAGCTGAACACGTAAAACAATAAATCATATTTTAACATTCTTCTTACTTTTTCTCTAAATTAATGAAGCCAAATGTGATTCCAAGATTGAGAATGTACAAGAGGAAATAGCTTTTGTACGTGTTTTTATCAAGTACTTATACTTGATATATGCTTATTTCGAGATTTTATGAGTAGAGCCTTTCTAAATGAGCCATGAAATATTTTAATCCCAATGAAATAATAAGATACAAAATTGAAAATGTAATATATGTATAATTTTATTCACTTCAATATTACTCAAGAGAGTACACATTATATTGTTCTTGGCAGAATAAATCATATGACTTCATGCTACAATTAAGTGATTGGCCAAGAGAGAATTTTATGGGTTTATATTCTCTTGGAAAGTACATTTTGTACTCACTTTCAGATATATTTTTTGCTGTGATATTTATTCTCATACAACCTCTTTCCTCCAAACATCTGATAAATAAAAAGTACACTCTGGAATTCTCCAGCACGCTATACAGAACTATAGAAAGAAGCGAATGTGTTCACTAGCCAAAACCAAACTTAGAGTAGCTGTTTTCTTTCCTACCCTCTTCAGAGTGTTCATATATTCCATTTGTAATACAGCTGGGCTTATTTTTTGATATTTTTATTCCGTTTTGAATTTCCTCCACACTCTCATTGATTTTTGTTATTTACTTTAATTTTGAGTTACATAAATTCATTTGAACTAGCTCGAGCAAAAAAGATATTTATTGTGAGGATTGTACGTTTTTCACAGACTCAAGGATACGAATGTGCCTGAATTCTCAGGAAAAAACTTCAACTTGGGATTTGAACCCCCATGAAGACTCAGTCTGTGTGTATCTGTATTGTGCGGGTATATCTGTCTGTCTCAGTTTTGCTTTTGTGTGTTTGTGGCTTCATTTTTCGCTTTCACTAGAAAGGGTGAAATCTTTCTCTACATAGTGAAGAACATGGCCACCAACAGCTCTATAGCTTTGTATCTTACAGCTCAAGCCACGAGAGGCAGACCGGCCCAGCATCTCCTCCACACAAAGTTAAAATATCCGAGTAGTCTAAGCATTGGTTCAGCTTAACTCCTGACCGTACACGTGAAGTCAGGGAGGTGGGTCATATAAGATGAGAAAACCTATGGGAACCACGTTGTTGGAGGGAAGAAAGGGCAGTTTCAAGTAGAAGGTGAGAGGTTTTCAGGAGAAATAAGGAAGTTTCTGGGCAGAAAATCAGTCCATTATGTGTCAACTCCATAGTCAAATGTGCCTCCTCTTGCTACAAAAGTCATTATGTAGCAATCCATTGTCTATGGCCAAAATTGATAACTTTTTTGATTTGAACCTGCAAGAAATGCGTGAGTCATTAGAAGTGGTTTACACTGAAGGTGTACACATTTTTCAGTATTCTGAATAAAACTCGCTATCGATATCACTTTTGTTTCTTCATTATATATTCCATTATAACAGGCATTTATTTTCAAACTCATATTTTGATTATGTGTAATTCACTAGCAAGATATTTTTATAAATTAACAGAGGTTGATTGCTTTCTCATTCTGCCTTCAGTATAATAGCAGTAAATGGGTCCTTGGAGAAGCTGTCTACGCACATACTGTTTTTCAAAATAGCAGAACTGTTGATTGTCAGCTGCCCGCTGATGTTCAGCAGTCTGGTACTATGGACCTGATGGGTGAGAAACCAATTGTGAAGTGGCAATTAAAGGTAAAAAGAAAAGATATCCTCGTTCATATAAACAAAGTAAATATATATATTAAAATTTCATAATGAATTTATGAAGCTACACTTAAATTATCTTATTATAGAACTACATCTTACAGGTATCTAATGATGGTTATAGGCTCAGTAATCCCAAAATAATGATCATCTATGATGGGGCTTGTCAAGTTTGTGGTCTCTATGAAAAGGACTCATGCACTATAAAGGTAGGTATCTTTTCACTTAGTTTCACACTTACACCATAGGTATTTTCATTTCTCATGGAGTTGGTATATTAATGTAGTTCTTTCGCCTTCATATGAGAAATGCTAATAAAGAAAAGCCTTCCTCCAGTTTATACAGGTTAATTGAAATTGTTACTCTGCCTGTAACTCTTGTTGAAATGGCAAAGGAGAGATTTCTACCTTTAACATTTTGAAGTGGCATGGTGTTTATTCCTAAAAAAATCAGAAAAGGAGATTCAGATTGAATTTTTCCTCTACATACTTTGTGGTTTAAGTAGTAATAATGATTTTCCAATAAGACATCTCTTCATGATTACCTGATCTTTGCAGCAAGTAACATGCATTTGGGTAGAGTTTGTGAAATGTGTAAGGCTAACACTTTTACAGGGAGTTTTCTGTGGCAACTAAATTCACTGAACCATGCATACTTGCACCACTTGAGGGATAACAGAACAACACAGTTTGAACTGAATCCTCACAGCAACACCCTCTTAATCTATATCCAGTCTACGGGATTTATCCACAGCTCTCTCACATGTCTGTTGCTGATTTAACAGGTACCATGGATCTAATATCACACTCTTCAAAATGCAGGAGCATATCAAATAATATTTATGTATATGAAAATGATAAATCTTATTTTAAGCTTTTAAATCCTTTTTTCCTCAAGATTAGCGATCAAATCATTTCAATAAGTAGTCTCTGGGGTTTGCGCCATGGCCGAGTGGTTAAGTTCGTGCTCTCGACTTTGATGGTCCTTGTTTCCCCGGTTTGGATCCTGGGCGCAGACATGGCCCTGCTCATCAGGCCATGCTGAGGTGGTGTCCCACATAGCACAACCAGAGGCACTCACAACTAGAATATACAACTATGTACTGGGGGGCTTTGGGGAGAAGAAGAAAAAAATTTTAAAAAAAGAAGATTGGCAACAGATGTTACCTCACGTGCCAATCTTTAAAAAAAAAAGTTTCTGTTTTTGAGTTGTTTAACTTTTATTTTCCCTCAAATGTTCGTTTCCACATGTTCTACAATAAGTACTTTAAAAATGTTGTTATTCATGGTTATTTTATCCTCTTGGGGCTATTTTGTTCTTATTTTTGTACAATAGCCCAAGTGATGTCAAAGGAGATTTTGTAAAATGAGCAAAGATTTTATGTCTTGAACAAAATTTGATCTTCTTTCCAGGTTAAAAATGATTGCTACATTTAATATTATTTCTGTGCATTCTTTCCACTATTTTGTGTAATGACATACATTATCAAGTGTGGATAATTATGTCATGGATCTGGTCTAGTTTTGCTATGTTGATAGGACATAGTGGGCTCCTAAGGGAGAGAGGATAACCATAAACTAATGTGAGCCTATAAGATGTGCAGAGGGAAAAAGTCTGTTTCATTTCTTTATAAATAAAGCACTTCCAGCATGAGTTTAGCAGTAAAAAAGACGAAAAGAGAAGTTCTATTCTGTGTTACTTATAAGGTATAGGTTATAATTGCACAGAGGTACAGTTATGTGCATTTTCCTCTATATTGATCAGTTCCATTGTCATTTACATATAAAGGAAATGACTTGTTTTCTAACATGCTTTTATGATTAGGAGATATAAAAAATATTTCCTAATCAAAACAGACATAATATGTTTTCATTGGAATCATCAACATGTATGCGCTATCCTTCTATGTAGTTCCCCCTCCCCCCGCCAAATACTATCTATAGCTGTATCCTGATTGGTATTTTCCTCTTTTAAAAATTTCCATTAGGAAAATGTTTGCATTATCGATGGACTCTGCTACATTGAAGGTGATCAAAATCCTGCCAGAACTTGTTTGATTTGTAGACCTAAAATTTCAAAATTTACTTGGTCGATTTTAGAAAGTAAGTTATTATTTATTAATTCAAATATTTCCTCTATAAGATATTTTTAATTGATTTTAAAACCACAAGTTACCATATGTTTAACATGAACCCTGTATTTAATTTAGCATCTTTTCTAACTGCATAATTTACTTTGCTTGAAGGAAATATAAGATGAAATGTTTTTATTTTATATAATCTCTATGATTATACTATGCTAGAGTATGGGATTTTTATTTTAATATTTGGTTAGGAAAGCAAAAGTGAATTATTAATGGAAGAAATGGAAATGGTTAATTCAGCCACACACAATTTGTGCAAGTCACGGAGCTACCAGCAAAATGGCCTCTCAAATATTACGTAAATGCAAAAACATCCATCAGTCTAGGTCGGTGGGTTCAGTGGAAAGTGAACATGACTTTGAGACCAAAAGTCTAAATCCTGTTTTTAGTATTAGCTATTTTCAGTTTTGTGACAAGGCATTTAACATTTAAGTTAAAAGGAGATGATTTTTCTAACATGCATTTATGCCTGTATTCATCACCTGTTAAATAAGATGTTCTGGACTTGATAATCTATAAAATGCTTTCCAGCCCTACCATTTTGTGACTCTATGAGTATAATATTAGGTACAGATAGTTTCTAGATAGTTTGTTCCACCCAAAAAATACCCCAAATTATAGTCATATACCATATAATTTCTTTGCTTCCTTAAATACAGCTATGTATGATTCCACCTAGGTGTCCTGCACATTCTCTTTCCTCAGGCAAAAGACCAGGCATCTTAAGATACAACAAGATATCATTACTCCCTGGCCCCATGTAATTTTATCTACAGAGTGAGAAAACCTTATATTTATACAGTGCTTTGTAATATCACTATATATGTTATTATATGTGCAAATTTCATTACTGTGTTAGACCATGAGTCAGATGACTCATTGCTTGGGTACAAGACTCATGGGATATTGTGAGAAGACAATGGAAATCTGGGGGAGAATTTAGTGCAAGAGACAAGGGAAACACAATATAATCTCTGAATTGGTGTCTATGTTTTTAATGGCTTTGCTATGACTGATTCGTCATAGATAGACAATGTTCAAAGATATGAGGGGTCTTGAAATATCATCTGTTCCAAGCCCCTCATATTGAGGGGTGAGGAAATTAAAATTGGTAAATTATAAGGATATGCAGGGGCAGAAGGGGAGCCAGAACTGCAGTCTCTTGGCATCAGTGCTTTGTCGATGCAGTCAGAGTGTTTGTGCCCAGTGCAATGAAAAAGACTATTCTTTCTAGCTGTTAACCCAGTTGGCAAGGAAGAGGGGTATTTTCTAATATGACGTTATGGAAAGGTGTTTTAAATCATTTCATGAGTATAAAGGGAACTCTTTCTGTCTTCTGAACTAACCACCATTCCAATGGATGAGCTTGGCCGCCAGAAGGACCTCTGAGGAGCAGAGGATTGGTGTGACTAAATGGCTCCCGATTATTATAACTGGGGTGGCAGGTACAGCAAGAAAAATTCAGGGGAATCAAATGAACAATTCTGTCATGGGTACTAAGGGAGAAATCGAGCAAAGGAGGTGTAGAGGGAGAAAGTGACGCCGAAAAGGATAGAGGGTAAGGAAGAAAGAGTTAAAGAGCAAGCACTGAGGAGTAACTTCAGACAGGAGAGGAGTTGCATGCAATCTGGACCAAGCAAATGTTGTATTTTATGCTGTATTCGAAGTGATTTTACACTTTCACAGCAAAGCTTGAAGTCTTGCACCTTATCTTCAGTTACTTTTACGTTTTCTCAGAAAGGAATTGAATTTATTCAGAATGTTTAAAAAAAGTGAAGGCAGGTAATAGAAATTTTTGCAGAGTTGAAATTTTATCAGAACGTTTTCTCAGTGAGGGCTCTCTGTATCACACTTTTCCTTTTCCTTTTCTACACAGATACAAAGGTAGATGTTTTCTCTCTTACAGACAACCAACCCCCAGTGATTCAAATACCGCAAGACAAATTACAGACATTTTATGGGGAGAACCTTGTGTACCAGTTCGTGGCCTTCGATCCAGAAGGCTCTGACATCCATTTTGCCTTGGACTCTGGTCCTGAAGGAGCAAATGTTTCCTCTGCAGGACTTCTTATGTGGAAATCAGAGTCACAAACTCCCCAGCGATTCACTCTACGCCTTAACGATGACTGCAATGCTGAATCTAGAGCCGTGATTGAGGTAATATTTATAATTACATAAATGCCGCTCAATTAATTAACAATATTAATAACTATTTTAAATTTAAAATACAATTTATGCTCTTAATTTGTAAGAAGAACTAAATTATTAAACATTTCGTGGAAAATTAAACTCCCAAACTTTTGAAATTTTTTTGGATGAATTTAAAACCTTAAAGAGAGTCCCAAGTCTAGAGCATGGATCTAAATTACTAATTCCTAGAGCATTTTCTTCTGCACTCAACTATGATAAAAATAAAGAGTGCATTCATGTCTACCTTTGTGACAGATCTGTGATAAACCTAAGACTGGTAATCATATCCATTTCCTTCAAGTGAAGGAATCTGAGGTGTCAAATTAGAAATTCAGATTATAAATATAAGATTTAAAATAACTAATTGTGGACTATATTTCCTTTTTTTATTGACTATTCTTTTGAGTCTGTCAGTCATGTGCTCTTAATACTGTTTTATTTGCCCTATATTCACTTGAAACTTGGGACACATTTTCACACAGAATAATGTTGTGAAGGGAAATTGTGTACTGTGTCATGTTAACCAGAAAATTCAAGTGACTGTTGACTTTCTACACTTTGCGATAAGTCAGGTGACTAAGTGCTTTCCACTTTAAGGAGCTTTTTTCCAGTTATTCTGCTTGTATTATAGAAATTATGGAAATTGATCATCTTATAGCATTTATATTTCGGCTATGCTCTTGAGAGTCAGCATAACTGCTTTATTAAACTATCTTTTGAAACGTTATTTTACATTAAATATACATACATTTTTTGCAAAACGTGTGATCTGTTCCTACTTGCACATAAACATACACGCCTACCCGGATCTCTGGGGCATAAACTGAAGGTAATTTTTTGGCAAAGTATTCCATTTACTGTTTGTTTCTTTTGCAGGTGACTGTGAGGTCTTGTGACTGCTTGAATGGTGGGTCATGTGTGTCTGATATTAAATTTCCTCCGGGAAGTGGAGCGTACCTGTGTGTCTGCTTGCCTGGCTTCCAGGGTGGTCTTTGCGAAGTGGAGGTCACTGAGTGCCAATCGAACCCCTGTGGCCTTGGCAGATGTATTCGTGGTTTTCACAGTTATTCCTGTGATTGTCCACCTGAGTTTAAAGGTAAGTTTTGGTTTCTCATTCATGAAATTGGTATGTTAATAAATTAGAAAGGAAAGCTCCTTGGCTTTCCAAGGAATCTACAGATTACTCAAAGAAATGTATGGCCCTGAAAATTTTAGTACACATTTAAAAATTCTAGTAAAGTCATCACAAATACATTTGCTATCCATATCCCTTTTTTATTGTAAATTGCTTACATATACTCTTATAATTTTGCCCATTTTTATAATTTTAATGACAATATTCTATGTCTATATTGTATTTTGTAGGTTCCTAAACATTTTTATCCATATTTGCTAGGTACAGATATATTTAAATGTATTGCTATTGAAATATAATATGAAATAATAAAGAAATTTGCCACAGGAAATAAAAAAATTACCATTTAAGAGAGGTTTTATTGATAATACATTAACTTAAAAATATCATGATATAAAGTTAGAGTTGAAATCAAATGAAATATTAGCATATTCATTAATTGTCCTACACTGTCTGATTCCAGAAACCCCAAATAAGTCCATTACTGACAACCTTTAATCTCTCAAGGCTTTTTAAAAACTCATACCAGTATTTAATTTAAGTAGATACGAATGTTAAGTAAATATGTGGTTATTGAACTGATATCCTTGAAAGCATCTATTATAGATACAACTATAATAGATTTTATTAGATTACATTATAATAAAACTAAGCAGAATATTTAGGTGTCTTCTAGATTTCTTCAGCATTTTAAAATAAAAAATTTATCATTTGGGACTATGTGCTACCAACTACATTTGGAAGAATTCAAATGTTGATTGCTTCATGGATTTTACTATAATAGAGGTTACTATTATTGCTGACTGTGAATATATTCATTCAAATAAATTGTTAAACATTTCAAAGAGCAACACTTCATCTCAAAAAATTTTATTGACGAAAGGCTGACTTTCCTTGAACACTATAAAATTTCATTTTCACAGCCCATGCAATAACTGGATTGAATTAAGTTGTCCTTAAGCTAAGCAGGCAACCATTCGAATAACTTTTTTAAAAATCACTGAGTTTTTTAACAAAGTACAGATTACTACTGTATTCTGTAATATTGTAATTTTTTGCCTTAAAATATTAATGGCCTTCTTAAGTCTTCTTATTTATAGGGAAAATCTTATGTACTTGAAGTGTCTTGTTTAGTGTTAAATAGAATCTAATTAATGACTTTATATTTAATTATATAGTAAATTTTTAAAACAATGCAATTCTCTCCTGTTAATGTACAACAGCTTTTTTGGAGTTAGCAGGACATATGTAAAGAGTAAAAGAAATCAAATAATGAGCACCTGATTGGACATATAATGTTTTTCAAATTAAATAATTTGAACTCTCAATCTACATTATGTTTAGGCAAAAATTGCCAGGAAGATGTTGATGAATGTGACTCCAGGCCTTGCTTTCCAGGAGCGGAATGCCTCAATACCTTTGGTTCCTATCATTGTGGTTCATGTCCAAAAGGATTTTATGGTGATGGAAAAATATGCCATGGTAAAAGTCCCTATTTTCTACCATGAAATGTTTCTTGCTGCATTTAATTAATTCAAATTACTCAGTTCCATTCTCTTTTACTAATGCATTCATTCAGTATATATGCATTAAGTGTCATGCACTAAGCTAGATGCAAAGGATGCAGAAATATATAAGATATGTCCTTTGACCTAACAGATTGAGTATAATAGCAGGGCATATGACATATAATCACATAGTTCAATATGGTGTTCTGCGTTTTTTGATAGAAGTGCCTAGAGAGAAGAGTAGGAATACTCCGCAGGGAATCATGTCTACCAGGAGGGATAATGAAAAGTTTTTAAAAAGGTGTCACTACAGCTAAATCTGATGCATCTGATCAAGAGAGAGAAAGGCTTTTAGGCAGAGTAAACAGCATGAGCAAAGGTACAGAGGCATGTAACAGCACAGCACTACTTGGGCACTCTGAATAATTCGGTGTGTTTGAAATATAGAGGGTAAGGGGGGCAGCTACAAGAGTTGAAGCTAGAGAGGTAGCTAGTGGCCAGATCACTGAGAAACCAGGAGAAACATAATAAGGTTTGGATTTGAGAGGGTCTTTTTGAGAGCAGCATGGAGGATGGAGCACTTGCAGGTAAGGAACTGTGTAAGTTTGAAGGTGAGAAAAAGAGTTAAGATAGTATTACAAACAGATGGGAAAGACATGAAGATCTGCTGACCTAAGATGAGGAGACATTGGATGAAAGAGACACTAAAGAAGCAAGTTGTCAGTGATTGGGATTAGCAAGGTGAGGGAAAGAGTTATTAAATTTCAAGTGATTGGTTTAGGTGAATGAGTGTGTAGAATAGGCATTTATATTGCTGTGGACTGAATTGTGTCCCCCTAAAATTCGTATGTTGAATCCGAAACCCCCAGTGTGGCTGTATTTGGAATAAGGTAGCAATTAAGGTTAAATGAGGTCTCAAGGGAGGAACCCTGATCCCATAGGATTAGTGTCCTTATAAAAGGAGACACTGGAGAGTTTACTGTCTCTCTGCTATGTCAGGACACAAGAATGTGGCTTTCTGCGAGCCAAGAAGAGAGCTCTCACCAGGAACTGAGTGGGCCTGCACCCTGATCTTGGACTTCTCACCCTCTGGAATGTTAAAAAAATAAATTTCTGTTGTTTAAGCCACCCATCTATGCCATTTCATTATGGCAGCCTGAGCTGACTAAGACACAAGGGACATATAAGGAAGAAACATTGGTTTTGGAGGGGAGAGATAATAAATTCAGTTTGGATACATAGAGGCTGAGGTGACTATGGACTCTCCAAGTAGAGCTCAGGAGAGGGGATTAAGTTAAAGATACAATTCTTAGGGTCATCAGTCATGGATGAAATTGCCCAAGGATAACACTTAGAACTAGGGAAAACGGGACAAAAAATTAGTGAATAACAACATTTTAAAAACTTAAAAAATAAAAGCAAATTATAGAAGACAAGACAGTGTCTTATATATGGTGCTTCGGTATCATTAAGCGAATGAGACCCGATTTTGAAGACAAATATATATAAATTATGTAATATCACCTTGTGCTTCAAATTGGGCTGGGCGTCTCTAGCACTGAAACTAATAGACTTGAGGAGCACAGTACAGGATGGTAAGGGGAGTTCCCTACTGGTTCAGCTACCCACATTTCCCTCTAAACATCCAGTCCCAAACACTCAACAGTATCACACCTTCCACTCTATGCACTAAAGTGATCTAACAGCTGTCTTTTCCAAACAGAAGCCCATTCTCTCAATAAAACCTTTGTGGAGTGGAATTTAAGAGGAAAGCAAGTTGAATCAAATCCCATTACACATGAATGACCAATAAATTTCTTAACTCTGTCAAAAGCACTTGTGTATTTTAAGAAGATGCTTGTTAACACAAAATAATTTTTTGTTGTTGTTGGTATTGTTGAGTTAGTTTTATAGTAGGTACCAGAGCCAATGACTGTAAAAGTAGACACAGCACAGTTCTTATTCTTGAGGTTGCTTACTAGTGGAAGAGACACAGAAAGGCACAAAGAAGGACAAAGTTCTGTGGGAGAACACAGGTGGACGAAATTGATTGCGTGGGTGAATAGGACCTTAGAAACATCTGTCAGTCAGCTCGCACTGCCCTAACAGAATACCACAGACTGAGTGACTTAGACAATAGAAATTTTTTTTTTCTCACGGTTTTGGAGGCTAGAAGTTCAAGATCAAGGTGCCAGCAAGGTTGGTTTCTGGCTTCTCTCTTTGGCTTGCAGATGGCCGCTGTCACAGTATCCTCACATGCACACTCCTTGTTCTTCTCCTCTTCTTATGAGGCCGCCAGTCCTACTGGATGGGGGCCCAATTAAATGACCTCATTTAACCTTAATTACCTCCTTAATAGCCCCGTCTCCAAAGACAGTCACATTTAGAGTTAGAGTTTCAACACATGAATTTTGGGGAAAACAGCTCAGTCCATAACGAAAAGATTTCCTGAAGAGATAACATTTAAGCTAGTTCTCTAATTTGCACAGTTCAATCCAGGTGGCATTTGTATTGCATGCTCTTATTCGCAGTGCTTTGGTTTTATAATGGTTTAACTATCTGTTTTTCATGTATACGTTTACAGTTGAAACGCAGTTTTTAAATGAATTTACTACACATACTGTGGTTCACACAAGGTCTGAGAAAAGTGTAACTAAGGAAGAGGATGGTGAAAACGCCACACAGAAGGAGAGGCATGTTAAGCCAACAAATGGAAATGCCTCTAGTAAGTAACAGTCTTAGTTAAAATCTGAGGACGATACCTCCCATTTGTCTTCCAGAAGACCCGCATAGTTATTCCTCAGGTATTTTTATTGTTAGAAAGATCACCTAAGATTGTATATGCAGCTTACAAATTATTCTTTTTCTTACTAATCTATTAAATCCTCTGGCTTATATTCCATAAAAATGATTCATGTTGCATAAGGAGCAAGTGATGTTATTTAAAGTGATTTCAGGGAAGTTTATGGTTGAAAGTGACCATTTCAAACTTACATTCTTTGAATCCCTGGTCATCCAACATCTGCTCAAACCCTAGAAGTAATCAGAAACTCATTAGTTCATAAGGCCTCTCCCTCTTCATAGTGCTCTCTTTATAATTCTCATTTTATTCAGTAACATTCCATGATTGTCTTCATAAAGATCTTGCACAGTTCACATTAGCTTTCTTTGTCATCTGTCATTCTGTAATATTAGCTGTTCATTTTACAAAATATCATTGCAGTTGTTCATCTGGCAAGATATTGTTGATTGTTGCAATATAAGAGAACTATCATGATTTTATGTTATTCATGCATCCACTTGCCTTACTAGACACTCTTATTTACATTACTTTTTTGTAGTTGATTCTCTTTCTTGGTTTTATAGGTAGACAATAATATTTTTTGCAAACAGTGAGTTTGTCTTTTACTCTTATTTACTTTTTTATTATAATAGTAACTAAGATTTAGTCTATATTTATGACATGCCAGCACTAGGTAAGTATTTTTTATGTATTATCTCATTCGATCCTCATAATAGCCATATACAGGAAAGGTTATTATTTCCATTTTACAGATGTGTAAACAGAGGCATGGATAGATTAAGTGATCTGTTCAGATTTACAGAGTTTGTAAATTGTAGAAGGGAGATTTGAATTTGCGCAATCTAACTGCAGAGTCCCAGCTCTCACACTTAGACTCTCATTGTAGTGGCTGGGACCTCCAGTGAAAGTGCGTACGCATGGAATAACTTTGATTCTTAATGGTTTTAATGGAAATTCTTCCTATGTTTCACCATTGAGTATGACATCATTGTAGATTTCTGCTAGAAACACTTCATCCAGTTAAGGAGTTTTCCTTTATTTTTTGCTCAGAATTTCCTCTTTAGTTTTAAATCAGGAATGGGTTTTACATTTTACCAAATGCTTTTTCAGTGTCATTTTTTTACTTGCTGTAATTTCTGTTAATGTTTCCTTAGAGTTTTTCAGAGTGTTTTTAACAAAAGATTGAAGTATCAAATTACTTTTTAACATTACTTTATATTATTTTCTTCATTAATATCTTAGTGTAATTATGTACTGTAATTGTGTTAGTAGAGATACAGGTCTGTTTTGTCCTGATGTGGTAATCTGTAACTACACTGCTGCATTTGATTTGGTAGTATCGTTACGAAGCTAGGGCTTGCTGCCCAATGTGCATAGAAGACAATACTATAGCACCAGCTTTTGAGATAAGAAAAAGCTTTATTGTGAGGTTGACCAGCAAGGAGACAGAAGGCAAGGCTCTCAAATCTGTCTCCCCAGTCCAGAGTTCAGGGTGAAATTTAAGGGGTTAGGGGCAGAAGCTTATTTGCTAGTCTCAAATCAGTTGATATATGGTAATCAAACTTCTGGAAGCCAGACTTTCCTTATTGAAGGACTTCTTGCTTCATAAAGGGCTCAGGTGGCAACATTTCTGAAGGTTCTTGGTTCCAGGATTGTCCTGAGGCTATGGGTCCCTGCCTGGTTCATGCACAGTGCTGTCTGTTATTGAGCAAAGTTTAATTAACCAACAGCCTGCTATAAGGAAGCAAAATAGTTTAAGCTGGTCAAGGTTTTATGTGCTGTCTCAGTATTTTGTTTAAAATTTTTATGTATTTTCACAAATAATATTATCTATAAGATAATACTACCTGAATATTTATAAAACTTTCTATATCTTTCTGTGCTTTGCAACAGTTTTGTAAAATATTCTTTCCTTGATTATTTGGTAAATTTTTTCCATTAGATCATCTGTCCTGGCATCATTTAGGGGTTGATTTTAGATTATTTTTCTATTACTTTCATGGCATTTGTTCTATCACTTAATCTACCTCTTTCTTAGTCAATTTGAGCATTTATATTTTGCAAAAAAATCATTTATCTCATGGAGATTTCAACTTATTTTAAAATTATCTGTAGTATTCTTGTATAATTTAAAATTCTCTCCATATATGCAGTTTTTTCTCTTCTCTTATCTCCAAGGTTTTTTAGTTGTATCTTCCCACTCTTTTTTTTCTGGATAGAACTTGCCAAATGTTATCTATTTAATTGTTTTTTTCAAATAATCATTTGGATTTTCCTTTCTATTAATTGTCTGTTCATAACTTTTCTTTGACTTTTTGTAGATTTTTAAGAATATTTTCTATATTCTGGTCAATCTTCCTTTACATAACATGTACTTGAATTTATCTTTTTTATGTGGCTTACCTCAATCTATGTTGTCATTTTATGCAGGGATATTAAAATTTTATATAGGCATCTTTTTTACAGCTTTTATTTATAGCTTCCATTGACAAGGATCTCCCAACTTCTATGTTATGCATGTGATGTCTTAAATTATCTTATATGATGTTTATTATTTTATATTTTCCATTTAGTTTTTAATCCATCTGGAATTTATTAATTTATGAAATGAGTTAGAGGTCTAATATTATTTTTCTTCCAGATGAATAAATAATTATGTATTATCATTTGCAAAATAAGTCACACTTTTCACACTGAATTTAAATACCTTTTTCTTTTTGGTGAGGAAGTTTGGCCCTGAGGTAACATCAGTTGCCAATCTCACTCTTTTTTCCTTGAGGAAGATTGTCCCTGAGCTAATGTCTGTCCTAGTCTTCCTCTATTTTGCATGTGGGACGCTGCTACAGCATGGCTTGATAAGCTGTGCACAGTCCCACACCTGGGATCTGAACCTCCAAACCCCAGGCTGCTGAAGCGTAGTTCGTGAACTTAACCACTACACCACTGGGCTGGCTCCTAAATACCATGTTTTTTATTTATTAAATTCACATATATATTGAGATATATTTCTGAGCTTGTTGTTATGGTTTTTTTAAATCTAACAGTCTTTTCCTATGCCAGTAATGCATTGCTTTGATTAGTTTGGCTTTATAATACACCTTAATATTGGTAAGGCAAATATCCACTCACAGTTCTTCTATTTGTAATTTTTTAGATATTTCTGATATGTACTGTAATATGAACATGAAGGTCATTATGTTAAATTTCAAAATAAAACAATGTATTTTACTAATATTCGGGTGCTAATAAATTGTCCTTCCTTCCTTTCTTCTGCTATTTTTTTTAGGAATCTAGAATTAATTCCGATTCTTCTCCACTTTTTCCTCCAATCCTAATACCAAAACCTCTCCTAGGGAGAGGTTCACATAAGGCAGTTTGGGACGAGAAGGAACAGTCCTTCAGTGCACAGCGCCTGGGGGAGGGGAGCCTGACCTGCCCCGGATGTTCTAAGGCAGGGCCTTAATCAGTTCCTCTGAGAACTGGTGGGCCAGGGCCTCTTGCTCTTTCTATTTGTTGACACTTAACTGTGCTTCTTGCTTTGCTCTTATTTCTAGTTGGGGCTATATTTGGTTCACTCTTGTTTGAGTCTGAAGCCACGTGATGTCTGGGTTTTATGAAGTCCTCAAAATTACCAAAAATCTTCCATTGCCCTTGCTTCTGTTTGTCAGTTATGTTAAGGATTACTTTTTACTTTTGTTTTTAGTTTGTTGTCTTCTGTCTTTTTCTGATTTTGATTGAGTTTGGTTTGGTTTTTTCTTGTCTCATATTGTGAGGGTTGCATGAAAATGGTGTAAAATCAAACCCTACATTGGCGGTAGAGAGTGTAAAAGGGAAACACGTCTAGTGACTGCTTAAAGTATGCCCATGCTCTAAAATTAGACTTTTCCATACCAAAGAAATAAAAAAAAGAGTTATAAGGAAAATAAAGTACCTGGAAGAGAGAAAAAATGATGAAACTCCCCCTTCAAAAAGAAGACACACAAACATGTTTTAATTTCTAGTTAAGTAATCAAGAAAGATAGGGAAGTAAAGTCTCATTTTGTCACATGGGTAAAATGATTGGAGCCACAGTTCTTTGCCTCTCATACAAAATAGCATTTATCCAACTTACCAAACAATTTTCACCTAAGCATTTTGTTTCTGTCCTCCCCTTTCCAGCTGAAATTAGTTGTTCGCTCTTTGCTCCTATGGGTTTTGTGACTGCCACTCCTATAGCGGTGATCACAGTTGCTGTGTTGAGTTGCTCACAAGTCTGTGTCCTTGACAACAGCGAGTTTCTCAAGGATGGGGCTGTGTTCTCCTTTGCTGTGAACCTGATGTGTATTAGGTAGTCAATAAATGTTTGTTGGCTATTTCTAACTCAATAAAGTTATTAGTTATTTTTCTTTAACTTTTATACTCTTTAACCTTCTGTCTTATCTTGTGTATCCAAATAGATTATAAGTTCCTTGGAGGTGGGAACTGTGTGATGACTTATTACTGCAGGGCTCCTAGTATAGTGTTATACATCTAACAGACATTAAATGAAGGGATGAATTACTTAATGTTAAATACTGTGGGTAGAGCCAAACAGTAATAAATGTTATTGACTAACTTTTTTTTCTTTTTTGGCACTTTAGATATAAAATTTCAGCCATCATCAACAGAGCATTCACTAATTGGTACAAGCCTTACCCATAGTCCTGCTACTATCAAAAAGTTCTCGGACACAACCAACGACATTGCACTCTTCTCATTAAAATCAGTTACAACTCAAATGAATAATTCAGAGAAGCCTATTTCCCATCAGATATCAGATTTTGAATATGTGGATCATATCCTCAATACAAATCTCAGCCTGGATGAGTGGGAAGTTCCTGTGAACAATCATAGTTCTTTACGCACCAAGCTAAACAGCTTCCATGGTGAAGTAAAGGCTGTTATCCAGGGCACCATCCAAACAGAAGCAAGAGGGTATAATTCTTCAACTAACAGGTCTACCCAAAGTTACACACAGTATAAGAATGAGTTTGCATCATCAGTTACTAGAGCAATCGCTATTTTGCCAGAAAAGCCTGGATTGACCAAATTATCAACTTGTGCTGAATCACCTTGCTTTCTTGGTGTTTCCTGTGTGCCAACCACAGATGGTCACTTCCGATGTGGACGCTGCCCCTTTGGGTATTACGGAGATGGTATCAATTGCAGAGGTAGTATGGCAACTCTTCAGAAGATATAAAGAAAACTATGTAGTTTACATTTAATTTAGAAAATATTCTTTTCTATTTATTAATTTCTGCTTATTCCATTTATTTCACTCATTTCTATTCAATTTATCAATTTATTTGTGTGTTTTCTCTTCACATTTCAAAAAACATAAAAACTAGTGTTTCTGAGATTTTTTTAAATAATGTTAATATTATATAGTATTATAATTATATAATATATATTATAAATATATTTATTGAGTACCTACTGTGTTCCAAGGTCTGTGGAAAAATTCTTTATCAGTTATGTCACATAATCCACAAGAACTCCAGATGTTGGGTGTTATTTTTCCCATTTTACAGATGAGAAAGCAGAGTTAGAGGGTTGAGGACTTTCCTGGCATTAAGCAGCTAGAGAAAGAAAATAACAATGTGGTCTGGGTTCTTTTTAGCTCACAGTGGGTATTTAGCACTTTAAATGACTAAATCTGGCATACTTCCTTATTTGCATAAATTAGATTTCTCTGTAATTCCTCCAACTCTTGAGAAGAAAACAAGTTGGGCATCACTTTAATTTTGAAAAGAGTGTTTACTTCTTTTCACAATTATCAGCATTGTTTTCTCTAATGCAAATCAAATTTCTGGCTTTGACAACATGGAAGCTATTTTGTGTTGTTCTTACTGTTTTGTTTGGTTTGTGTTTTGATTTATTTGAGACCAGCTTAAGCATAGAGCTGTTGGAGTGTTCCTTTGTTCTCAGTATTACAGAGAGGAAATTTGTTTTTTCTTTTTTTCTGTAGGACTAATGGTAGTAAATCTTCAATACTTAAATGTTTATAACATAAAACTCCTTATTATTAACAAATAAAACAAAACAATGTCATGCATTTCACTTGCCTCAGGAAGTGTTGAATGCTTACCAGTTAGAATATATCAGGTTGTTAGAGAAGCTTAAGGAATACAAACCTATAAGCTTACGGTGTGTTCCTGGTATCTTGCTCTTTGAAATCCCGATGTTCCCTGGCTTCACCAACATTTACCTAATTATTAAGTAGCCAAAACATCTGCCCTCTGGAAAAGACTGTAATCCCACTTGTGGTTAGAAGCCATCCCTGATATCAGGTTTTGCTATCAGAATAATTACCACATATGGTACTTCTTTCTTACTCTATTAATCATTTTCCTCAGCCAATCTAGTAGTAAAACAAATATAAGGGAAAAATAATTTTATGGATAAACGTAGTGGTTATTGTGGATAACAATATCAAAATTTTCAAATTTCAGAGAGGTTTACTTTTATTATAACTAAGTCTACAGGCAACATGTATATGCTGTATCAACAATTCAGCCTTTTTCCCTTGGTTTTTGCAGCCATTTGTAGACACCCATGTGGAAAAAGCAGGGAGTGTGTTGCCCCCAACGTATGCAAATGTAAAACTGGTTACGCTGGTTCCAACTGCCAAACTGGTACGTACAGCACTCATTAGTTTGCACAGTGAATTTCATTGATAATTGAGATTTCTAAACCATGAGCTTTATTTTATACAGCTCTATGTCATCCTGATTGCAAAAACCATGGAAAATGCATTAAGCCTAACGTTTGTGAATGTCCCCCAGGGCGTGGTGGAGCAACCTGTGATGAAGGTGATAATTCAAATTAAAAATCAAATAATAGAGCCAAAATAAAACAATCCTCTCTTAGAAACCTTTTTAAAGATAATTCAGCTTTTACTGTATATATACTAATATATATTCATTAATGCTGGTGATGGAGTCTAAGGTTTTTAAACATCTATTAAAAATAATTTGAAGAGTTTAAAAACTTAAATTTTCAAAATCAGAGACCCAAAGAGCAAAAGCTTATTTGTCCTTGGTAAAGTTATCTAAAGAAATACTTTTTTGAGATTTAGTTATAAGGTACCATATCCCTATAAATATTTTAGTGTCAATCAAAGGACTCCTGATTATTGAGTGACGTGTCAAACGTGGTTCCAAGGAAGTGTTAAATACTGATAATTAGAAGATATCAGACAGCAAGAAGAAATCGTTAATTATTAATAAACTGAGAGCCATGTTAAATGCTTTCATGACAAGGCAAGGCACATTAACAAATTAAAGTAAATTTAGAGTGAACTAGCAAACATTCAATATTAATGGCATATGAAAATAATCATGGAAATATAAAATTGTTCTATTTGTAGGGCAGGAATGCATAAGTCCAAGTTTTACTTTTCAGGTGAAAACTAAGATCATTATTTTCATCCAGGTAACCAAAAGTTTTATAAAGCAAAACATGCTGATAATTTGTGAGTGTTCTCAGAGTGTGAATTCATATAGTCAATCTCCCAGAAGTAAATTTTATAGTAAAAGAGAACTGAGTTTATTATAAATTACTCTTAAAATAAAGTTTCATTGTGGCTGTGCTTGATAAATGTAAACTGACTTTTTTCTTAATTAAGAGCTGACTTACTAACATAATCTGTGTTTGCAGAACATTGCAGCCCACCTTGTCTACATGGTGGCACCTGCTTGGCTGGCAATCTCTGCACTTGTCCTTATGGTTTTGTAGGACCAAGATGTGAAACAAGTAAGCAAAGCTCTCTTGCAGTCTAATATAATGAAGTTGTTCTTTTGGATAGTTGATGGCTCTAATGCTGAGATAAACCCAAATCCTAAGTAAAAAACATACACTCATGATTTATTACGACGGTTATCATTCTGCATACTCTCTTCTTGACTCTATCCATGACCATTTCTTTGAGATAACAATTCCAATTTGTTGATTTGCATATAAATCTACCTTGTTTAATTATGTCTATGATTACTTTCATCAGTAACTGACAATTTTCTCAGATAGTCAAATCTTGTTTACCATTCAGCTCAATGATTTTCTACTTTCCCCATCTCTATTAGCAAATATATATATATATATATATATATATCTCTGAATGTGAGAATTGGAGACCATTTAATGCCAAAGGATAAATTATTTTTATCTTTCTCTCTGATTTTATTCATTAGAGAATGTGATTGGCAGTTATGAGCCAGCTAGGAAACCGCCAATAATATGACCAATTCCAAGCCTAATTTACCTTCCTTTTCTTTTTATTCTGTGAACTTAGTGGTTTGTAACAGGCACTGTGAAAATGGAGGTGAATGTCTTACACCAGATGTTTGCCTGTGCAAGCCTGGCTGGTATGGACCCACCTGTAGCACAGGTAAAATCAGAAATATTTTCAATGACTATGTCAATTAAAAGGAATTTAAAATGCACAATGTCCTAAAGACTTGCACCCAAAAATATAAAACTAGTCTGAGAAGATTGCTATGAAGTTTTTATTTCAGACAGACTTTTAAAACCCTATCTTTCATCTTCATTCATATTCTGGACCACGGAGTGTGTTTCAGCTTTACCATTATCCAACCCAACACTTTTTCTTTTTTTGCCTTTATAGTTCCCTCATCTACTTGTCTTATGGTAGAGAGAAACATATCTCTGTTGCATCTTTTAGATCCCTTTCAAGTTTTTTTTTGTTATAACACAGATATTCTATTTCATTAAACATTCGAGCAATTCTGAGTTAAGCGGACACCATCACATTATCCCATTTATTTATCACAGCATAAGACTTACTTCCTTGGCAGCAGCATTTGCAATTTTCTATGTTCAATCCCTTTTGATCTAATAACTTTTCTCAACATAAATGTAACTCAGCCTTTCCAGCTTGCTAACTATGTGTGAAGCATGATGCAAAGGCAAACAGAGATCAATTTGATTTTTGCCCTCATTTCAAGTAGTATATCATTAATGAAGAAGACATGGGACGCAATTATAAAAAAGACTATGATGCAAGTTGGGTTCTAATAAGTAATGTAATAAATACACAATTCCTTGGAAGCAGAGGAGAAAGAAATTAAATTCTGGAAAGTGCAGTTTGGAAGAAAATAGTATTTGAGGTAGACCTTGAAGAATGGTTAAAATCTGGCTTGAAAAATGGAGCTGGGGGTGCCTTTCAAAGTATAACAAATATAAAGAAGCAGAAACAAAGAATGTTTTTAGTGTGCTAGGACTGAGTGCCGTGTTCCTATTCCAACTGGGAAGGAGACTTCAAGAGGTACATATGGCCACATGTATTTGAGCAGATTACAGACCATCCTGTTCGTGCTGTTGAAATGTCTTCTCCTAACTTTCAATCACTTTTTCAGCTTAAGAAGGGCATTCTGAATTCAGTTGTAGCCTCCATATTCTTAGCTTGGTATTATTTGTCAACTTAATGAACAGATTTTCAAAGCTATTAACCAGTTATTTCATTCCTCTTATGTTTGGCAAAGTCTAATTAATTATAGGTTATGGGTTTTACTTGCAGTAAAAATAAAATATTTCAGTATCACCATTTTGTACTTCTGTGCCGCTTTCATTTTTTAAATAATAAAACTTTTATGGTCTTTCTCCCTCCTGCTGTTCATTAGCCTTGTGTGACCCCGTTTGCCTCAATGGTGGTTCCTGTAATAAGCCGAACACTTGCCTCTGTCAAAATGGATTCTTCGGTGCACAGTGTCAGAATGGTAATTATTCTTTCTTTATAAATAAAAGGCAAAGGGAAAGTTAGACATAAACAGAGCTCTGAGTAAACACAAAGAGACGAGTTTCAAAAGGGAAGATGCTATTTATTTTTTTCTCTATTTTTCTTCTTGAGATGTTACAGATTTAGCCACCACATGACCACTTCATAGAAACAGATCAGAGTTATTGTGAAAAATGGTTATATTTATTCAACATATGTTAGGCTCACAACCTTGGTGATTGTGCGGTTTTGTAGGACTAAGGTGTGAAACAAATAGGGAAAGTTCCTTTTCAGTCTATTGTAATGGAATGGTGTCATTTTTATTGTCTTCACAGCAAAAATGTTTGATTTGTGGTCAATCTAATGTCACTATTATCTCATGATCTCTCTCGACTTGTTTCATTAAGCATTTATGAGGAGCCACCTATGTACGGCGCTATGCAAGGTGACATGGAGACATAAAGATGCTTCATTTTTCCCCTTCATGTCCTGTTATTTTAACACTTTCCCTCATATAGTTAATGCTACAGGTTTTTTCAGAATAATGGGCGCTTCCTGAGGCTGACAGTATAGTCATGAATTAATGTCAATAAATGAAATTCAAAATGTATTTTCTGCATCTTCATATTTTTGAGTTTATGCAGAATATAGTGTAGATTTTTAGTAAAAGCATGTGAGAATATGTCATAATTTAAATCCTAAAATCTGTACTTTCCCTGCCATGTCACACTTTGATTTAATCCCATTTCTTTCGTTTGGAGGTTGGCTAGGATTCTTAGGTTGCAATTGAGGCAGAGAACAAATCATCACTCTGATACCAAATATATTGGCATAGGGAAAGAGTTCCTCTAAATCAGGTTTCCTCTAAGAAATCAGTTTGTGAAATGGAAAGAAGTAAGGACTAAGTTAAGGAAAATCTTCCAAACTAGGAGACTGTCTAAATCCAAGTTTATGAGTTATAGTGTAGTTTTGAGTGGAGAATGTAAGGAGGAAAACGGAAAGCTTACGTCTCTCATGCTATTTGCAGTAGATGAAAGATATAGTAAGAAAAGTTCTCCTCTAAAATTTATGTCAGCAGTTTAACTGGGAAAGGAGTGAAATCTCTGAATTATTAAGTTGAACTAAAAATCATCTATTGAATATATGTCATGTTGGCAGGTTTTGGAATTAACCAGTCTCTACAACTTCCTAGCCGGCATGGATTTTGAAAATGTACTTAAAGTCCCCAGACCGCAGACTTCTTGAGTTTCAAATTTGAACTAGACAGTTGCTGTGAGGCACAGGTGAGACATAGAGTGGACCACCTGCACATACAGATAGCACATGGCTAGTAGCATTAAGTAATAGTATTATTATCATTAAGACATGCTACAGAAGATGCAGAAGAAAAAAAACACAGTCTTTGTTCTTATTAGATCACATCCCCTTGTGAGCCTTATGTGAGCTCACATGATGGGAAGGGAAGATGTACACACTTGGAAGACCATTGAATAAATTAGGCAGAACATGATTAAAAGGTAAATATGGGGAACATATACTGTGTTCTAAAAGATTTCAAAATAGGAAGAGAAAAATTGAGCTAGAAACATCATGAAAGAGTTAAACTACTCTATTAATAAGCAAAGCTTTAAATGTGAGGCTGGAGAGATGATTAAATGCATCTTCCAATTTCCTTCATCCCTTGAGTGCCATGAGCCCATTCCACACGGAGAGTGAGGCTGAATTACTTGGCTCTCTTTGGAGTTTGATGGAAGATCCATCTGAAGCCTAGAGAATCTCATAAATATATGTGTGAATGTAGATTTTTCTCCTAACCTTTCTTTTCCTAAAATTAGGAATAGGGGTGAGCATGACCAAGCCTAAGTTTTATGCTGTTTCTCCATGTTACTTTAATTATGTATACTTTTTTGTCTAAATGTAATATTTATCTCTACACTCAAGTTTTGTGGAGTAGATGAATATTGATTATAGCAAGGTTACCCATTATAAATAGGTCTTCTGTTCTTTTTTTTTTTAGTTTTAAATTTCTAACCATAGTTATTTCCTATGGTGTTTTTGTAATGGAAAGAATACATTTTTTCCTAATAAATAGAAATAATATTAAGTTGTATAAAGATTAGAAAGCAGAAAATGTAAAAGCTTTTCCCTGTTATAAAAAGTACCAATAAAAAATGCCAGGGAGGGGCTGGCCCTGTGGCCTGAGTGGTTAAGTTCCTGCGCTCCGCTTTGGTGGCCCAGGGTTTCACTGGTCCCGATCCTGGGCACGGACATGGCACCACTGATGAGTGACGAGTGGTACACTGAGTCGGTGTCCCACATGCCACAGCTGGAGGGACCCACAACTAAAATATACATCTATGTACTGGGGGGATTTGGGGAGAAAAAGCAGGAAAAAAAAGAAGATTGGCAACAGTCTTAGCTCAGGTGCCAATCTTTAAAAAAAAAAAAAAAATGCCAGAGAAAGCAGACTCAACTAACTAAAGTAGTCTAAAATAGTAGAAATTATCCATTTGCTAAAATTATTCAGTTATATTGTTACATAAAGTGCTACATTATTTTCATTTGTAAACCCACTGGAAATCAGTTGAATTTTCCTTACAGTATTTGGAAATAAAGAAAACAGTTATTAATGATGGATCTAGTTCTAAAGGGGTCAGTCTGCAACAGCTCTGTTACTGAAACCAGTTAATTTGACATTCATTTTTAAAATACAGACTTAAATCCACTTAATTATTATTTAGGGAAAAATTAAATTTAAAAATTTCCAGGCATGTTTGCTTATGTATTATTATTTTTTAAATAACTGCATTTAATTGTCATATCTGGAAGAAACATAGAGCAATAATAATCCTCTCATGAGCGATAAATATTAACTTCTGGATTCCATGGAACAAAATCATATACATAGAAGATACTAGTACAGTGTATTCAAGATTATCCAATATATATTCCCAAAAATGCCAAGGATTTATTGTTAAAAAGATTTTTGCCAAGAATTCACAGGAGTTAGTCAAATATATATTGCTGCCTTCGTGACCTCCATGGGTTTTCAGACATTAACTTAGAAGTATCTTCTAAATAGCATGTGACAGATTGTTGAGATTTTTCTAATTTCCACAGGAACAGATTCATTCTTATTTTGAGTTAGGTTTTGACTTATTTTCTCGGTTTTGCCCAGACCATTTCACTCTTTATTTCAAAGTATGGTGAAACAGAAGATAAGGTTCATAATATGTGCACCATAATACCGAAGACTCCATTCGTCATGAACACTTCACCAATACATTTCAAATTGTGCTAACCCACTAGCGGGTTATAGCTATGAGCATTGTATTTTATGATTTAGAAAGGACAGTTTTAATGACTTGCAGTTGTGATCTTTTATTCCAAGAGCACATTTCTCTGCCTTATGGCCCCATAGATAACAAGCACGTGATGCAATATGTAATATATAATAATGGAATATGTAATATTCACAGACTGCTGCCATGTGTTCTTTCAGCTATCTGCCACCCTCCCTGTAAGAATGGTGGCCACTGCATGAGAAATAATGTGTGCACCTGCCGTGAAGGATACACTGGTAGGAGATGCCAAAAAAGTAAGACACCACTAAATGTATTTGCCAACTACAAGTAAAGCGAACACGTTAAATAGCAAAACTATTGCTATTTAAGTACTGATATTTCATCCTTTTACCTTAAGGTATCTGTGATCCCATGTGCATGAATGGAGGAAAATGTGTGGCACCAAACATTTGCTCTTGTCCTTCTGGTTGGATTGGGAAACAATGTGGCACACGTAAGAGGAATACTGTTAAATGCTAAAGCTGCGTCCTTATGGGAACACAAAGCAGATTTTTCCTTGTTTTTGTTTGTTTGTTTTTATTTTTGCTTATTTGTTCCTACTTTGGGAGGTATCTTTTTGAAATGGAAAGAGTAAAATGTCAGAGGTCCTCTGAACTCATTCTTTCAGAGGAAGAGGATATACTGTGTTTTCCAGTCGGTCCGCTGCAGTTTCCTGGATAAATGACGCATCTTTCTCTTGATCTCCTAATCTTAAGTAGGGGTCAGGGGAAAGTTTTAATACATTACTGATTTCTTGGCCCCAGCTCAGGCTAACCGCTTCAGAACCTCCCAAGGTAGGGTGCCACTGTTTTCACACCTGGCAGTTTTTGAGATGATAGCAGCTCTCTCTCATTCAAATGTTTCATTTTTTTCTTTTTATACAATTGTTATTTAAAATTAGCAGCATTATAGTATTATTTTATATTTGTATGATACTATTATAGTGTATTTGTTAGAGTGAAAAATGAGAAGCAGCATAAATGTCCAACAGCTGGGGAAAAGTTAAATCACAATGCATTCAATCCGTGGAATATTATACAACCATTAAAATCATTTTCCAAGAATACGTAGTGACATTGGAGAATGTTCCTGATAAAATGTTAAGGGAAAATATCCTTTAATCATTGATTTTTAACTGTTTGCCTTTTTTTTACCTTAATGAAAATTTTTGTGGTTTATGATAGGATTTGACAAGTAAATTAAATTTTTAGTTTGTTTATATTTCTATTTGCAGCTATTTGCTTTCAGAAATGTAAGAATGGTGGTGAATGTATTGCTCCCAATGTATGCCATTGTCCTGCCTCATGGGAAGGAGTGCAGTGTCAAATACGTAAGCCTACAGGATTGTTTTCTCCTGTATGTTCTGATCCTGCATCTGTTAGCATTATTAAACAAAGTATAGCATTAGGAGAAATCCACAGGGAAAAATTCCAGCATGCTGATCCATTTAAAAATAATGGTTTTCGAAATAAAAGGAAATCTTCTCCATTTTTATATCCATTTAAAAGAAGAAAGTATGGCTTAATATATTAATATTTTGTATGACATAGATAATTCCAAATTATGGTCTGTGGGTTCCCAATGAAATTCCCTCAGGTGAGCCACAGAGGATTTTAATATACAGCTTAAATATTCTTTCATAGTATAAATATATATCTATCATGGAAATCATAGAAAATATGAAAAAGCTTTAAAAAATTATTCAGTCCAAATTTCACCACATAGAACTAATTTCTGTTAAGATTTTGGTATTTTAATATATTTTTATATGGTTTTAGACATAAATTTTTACAAAGATGAGATCTCAGAGTACAGAGGAAAATCAAATTTTATACAATTTGGAAATTTATGAAAACCTGAAATAAAATGTTAAAATATTAACGAAGATTAACTTAATGGGAAAAATTGGAAATCTCGCAAAAATATTTTCAAATGATCAATAATTATGTAATTCCAAAACTGGTGGTTCAAGTGTACTGTAAACTGAAATTACACAGTTGCAACATGACCATGCCTTTTTTACTAAAAATACCTGCCCTGCTTTTCAGTGTCTTATGAACCAAACTGTTTCCATGTATCAGAGACTCTGCATATAATTTTCATAACTCTTAAACTTTATTTTATTAGTAATTGCTATCATAATTTATACATTTCTCATCTTAGGAAAATATTACCAAAGAATTTATTAAGTGCTAGTACTTACATAAGAAATATGTACTTGAAAATAAATAATTCTGATTGGAAGTTAGATATGGTAAAATCTAGAAAAAAGAGCTAGGAACCTCAATTTGGGCTACTCGTTCTGGAGAGAGTTCTCTGTGGACCACGAGAGAGAATGAGGAGATGTTAAAAGCACATTGATGTGGAAATATGCTCCCATGATTGTAGATTGAGGTACTCTGAACACAGCCTGAAGATGTGCACCCTGTTTTTGCATCTTGCAGCACTTTTATGTGAATTTTTAAAAGTCCCCTTCCTCAAAATGCTTTATTTCCAACTGTCTGGAAACTATTGACATTGTTATTTGAACAAGAAGTGTTGCTGCCATCTGCTGGAAAACTGTTGTAGTAAATATTCAGATCTGTGATGTCTGTGATGTGAATGGTGCTTCCTTTGCTGTCGAGCTTTGGGCATTACACAACCTGCCTAACCTCACACAAGAGCCGTGATGAAAACGTAACTCTTCGATGTTGCATTTATACCAAAGAGAATATTATTCTCGAATTATGCAAGCTTCCAATATCAGCTATTGAAGCAGATACCTCTCCCATGAAAAATGTAACTGTTGCATATAATTTTATATTACGCTTACTTTAATTTGATATTACTTAAAAGCATTTTCCATGTCCTTAAAAGCATAACTTTAAATGATACATTAAGTTCTATAATATAAATTCTGTAAATCACTTGACCTTTCCCCTTATGTTGAATATTTTAGTTATTTACAAGTTATTACTATTTTAAGTATTATCAGCGTTTTCTCTGTATATGTGGGTAGGTAAACAGAGAGATGATAGGTAGATAGATAGATAATTGGATGATAGATAAATAGATAGATATTGAAAAATAGTGAGATAGATATAGATTTTTAAAAATTTCATTGGGAGAGATTTTAAGGAAGAAATTCCTAGTACAGACTGTGAAAATCTTTAGAAAATTTCCAAGAGTTGTTTCACATTAAACTTCCAATGGTAGTATATAAAGTTGTCTGTTTTTCCATATACTGGCCAGTACTGAATTGTCTCTTTTAAATTTTTGCTAAATTGTTAAAAAGCAAATTATAATCTAAGCGCTATCTTCTGCTACTGATTTGAAACTCCTCTCTAAAGAAAACAAAAATTGTAAAAGTGTTGTTTTGAGTTTTGGGTGTTTTGTTTTTTGATGTGTGTGTGAGTGTGTGTGCGCACTCGCATGCTCTGGTTGCAGGAAGATAAGAGGGCAGCTGGTCATTCATAGATTCTTATGCCTATTTTTGTAGGTGAGTCACTGAATAGCTTCAGACCACTAGAATGAATATGTTACAAGCATTTGTATCAAAGATGGTAATTGTAAAAATTTGTGTATTGCAGCAATTTGCAATCAAAAGTGTCTTTATGGAGGCAGGTGTGTATTTCCCAATGTATGCTCTTGCCGCACTGGATATTCTGGAGACAAATGTGAAAAGAAAATACAGGTATTTTAAATTTTAAAGTGAAAATAAATATTAGATATTGACATCTGCTAGCTACTCAGATACTCTACTTGGTATTTGATGCCTATCTGTTAATGTTTTATTTTCTTTTATTTCCAAAATAAAAAGATATACAAGGATTTATATTTGCCTCTAAAACTAAAAAACTAAAACTAAAAATAATCATTTCTGTGTCATTATAGAGTTATCTTATTATTCAAAATTTTGATGTACACAAATAGTTTCATTGTGCAGATACAGCTGTCAAATGTAATGCGTTATTTCATGGCAGTGGAGTTGAGAGAGAGCAAATATTCCACGATATGGATTTAAGACACCACTGATTTATATTTTGGTTAAATACTGGGTCAAAAGGCCACCCTCACTCCTCTCAAAAATAATCCACCACTTTTTTGTTTTTTTTTTTAAGGAAGATTAGCCCCGAGCTAACTGCTGCCAATCCTCTTCTTTTCGCTGAGGAAGACTGGCCCTGAACTAACATGCATGCCCATCTTCCTCTACTTTATATGTAGGATGCCCACCACAGCATGGCTTGGCAAGCGGTGCCATGTCTGCACCCGGGATCCGAACCGGCGAATCCCGGGCTGCCGAGGCAGAACATGCGCACTTAACTGCTGCGCCACTGGGCTAGCCCCCAATCCACCACTTTTAAATCAATGAATCACTACTTCATTGATTTGGGGTGGGCCTAAACATTTTTAGTGGGTCGTGTGTCACTAAAGCCTTGTCTATCCTCATACTTTTCCCTGACAGTGTTCTTTCTCTTCATTTGCTCCCTATTAAAATCCATTCCAGGGAAAGCAATAAAAAAAGCTCTTGCCATCATTAGAATTAGGATTTATTTGTATTTCAGAAATCAAGAAACCAAAGGAAGAGCAGAAGCTTTCTTAGAGTTTCTGAAATTGTCCCGCAGTTACTATATACTACACTATATAGCCAGTGCTATATAAATATCTATTCAAAGAGTTTCTGTGATCATACTGGTGCCTCTAAGATTAAACTGAATTTTTTTTGGTCTTTAATCTTAAATTTCTGAATATCAACGGCTGAGACATTTTTTCAGTCCTAATTCCTACACATACCAGGGTGGCTCTAATGATCACCAAAAAATTGCAGCAAAACTTAAAAATTTCTTAAACTTAATCAGTGTTAGTTTTAACTTAAAAACCAATTATACGCTATTTAGTACTTCAAAAAGCCTAAGGGTCATGAATATCAAAGTATGCTGGAGCACTATAATTTGAAAAATGATAAGGAATTTTCTTCTTGAAGTGTGATACTGGATCAGTCTGGCTTCAAGGCAAAGTGGATGTATTTATATTCTCCTAGTACTGGTGTTCATCCTGGAAGGATATGGCCCCGTTTTGAAAAAAACAAGATCATAATGGTACTATGGTTTGAAACAAAAGTTATTGAGAACTCATTTGATCAGCTATTGTTGAAAAAAATAAAAATAAAAGCTTGAGTTCTTTGGGTTTGAAGGTAGCTGAAATATATATTATTTTATTTTATTTGAGATTTTTATGCCACAGAAAACCCTATAACCTCAAAAGCTTTCCACTCTGCTGACATACTAAATTGGTTACTTCTCTGTATTCCATTTTGATGTATTTCTTTAATCTGAATCTTTCCTCATGTGATCAATAGCAGACCACCTTCATCTCCATTAATGCTGCTTCAGAGGCTGCCTCTGGAACCATATTAGGGAAAGAAAGAACAGAAGATCACGGGGAAGGAAAAGGAGAACAAAAATGAAAAGACTGGTTCAAGGGCCACATGTCCTGCTTTGCTCTAACCTGCTCTCCCAAGTTCCTTACTTCGTTTCTCTCTCCAGCTTTGTTCGGTTGCTCACTGGTGCCATTCATTCGTTTTTGATATTTCTTTGGCTCCTAAACATAGGGTAAAAAAACCAAATTTTGCTTTAGCAGGAAAAAACCCAGCTACCATTTATGGTATTGACAGAACCCTCCCTAACTGCTCCCGGCTCCCCTCTGACCTCCCTTCCCAAAGGAGAGTTCAGGCTGGCGAAATCACCTCCTGGCCCTTCTTGGATCACCCTGAGGTAGTGGGTGAAAAAAAGAAATGGAGGATATTGATTGGATTGCTAGAATTTCAATGGAAAAAAAAAAAAAAGCCAAAAAAAGAGAATTCCTGGCTAGAAACAAAAGACACAGAGAAAGGGGAAGTGGTCAAGGGAGGTCCTAAGGAGAGTGGGTTAATAAAATCTTTGAGATGCTTCATAACCTGCGGCCTAGCTGCTAACTTTGGCCCTGCCACTTGTTGGCTCTGTGAACTTGGGCAAGGTATTGAACTCCTCTGAGCCTGTTTCTTTATCTGTAACATGGGGCTAATAAGGACACCTAATCATAGGGTTTTTATAGGGATTAAATATGTTAATATATGTGAAGTACCTAGAACAGTGCCTGGTATATAGAAAATACTATGTAAGTTTGTGATGAGTTGCTACACTGAATAGGACAGAGTGAGGTGAGGGAAAAGGATGGGGAAAGAGACTGGAGAGAAATGTTGCAATGCATTGAAACAGTCTTTTCCTGAAGGATCAGAAAAAATTTATGCAGTTTTACTGAAGATGGATGTTTCTTGAATGTATCCGTTTGCCAAGATGGAGTCAGGTAGTATCCAAGCTCCATTCACTCACAACTGTTTTGATATTTAAATATGATCTTGATTAGGTCCTAATTTTGTAAAAGCAGTACTTAGACTCTAGTGGCAAGCATAGAACTGAGAGAGCTTTATGTACCATGTCAGAGGGAAGGAGGCAGCAAATAATGCGTAAGGGTGGAATGGTTTTCTAACATTTATTGAAACTTTATTTTCCTCTTCCTACTACAGATAAAACGCCATTGAGTAATGTCAAGTATATGAATTACAAGCCTATATCTTAAGAATGGAAATTTTTATTCAGAAAAAGTTGGAGTAAACTACTCGAAGTTTATTTGAACATCATCTTAAAAACTATTTTAAAGACTGAAGAAACTAATAAAATATGGAGTGGTCTTAGCTGTCATTGTTATAGAACAATGAAAATAGAAAAACAGCATTTTTATAGAAAAGCAAAGAAGAAATCCAGGTAATCTAAATTTGACTTTGAAATGTGATTTGATATTTACATATTGACATGATGTATCTGATATTCCAGACATTCACAATATTTAATAAACTGAATATTTTCCCAATCCTTGCTGTGGTGGTGTCTTTATCATCGGGGATCAATCAGCAAAACAGAAGCCACTTGATGTATCCAGATATAAAGTATTTAATGTAGAATTGGGAGGTCACAGGACTGTTGGAAGAGCCAGGGGTAGGGGTGGGGGCAGTGAGGGGTGGTCAGGAAAGCAGCTGCTGAAGGTCAGAGAGATTGAGCCTGAAGACATCAGCCTAAAGCACCAAGCAGGGGCCTTTCAGAAGCTTTTCTGGAGCTGCTGCAATACTTCAGAATCTTCAAAAACTACCACCAACTATCTCAGGCAAAGTGGGTTATTGTCAAAAATTTGCTGGAAAACCACTGTGAATCTTTCAGCTATCCAAGTATCTAGCTGCAAATACCTCTGAAAAAAATAATGACTTCCTATTCATTTCCATCTTCTCACTCTCAGAAAACTTTTTCTCACTGGCAAATTCTAACCCAAAATCACATAGAGAAAGGGATTCTGGAGAATGTAGTTACCAGCCTTAGAATGAAGTGACAGTGGTGCCAAGGTGACAACAGTGAGCTGACACAAGACATAATAGGAGTTCTGCATTTTATTGCTTTGGACTATATTCCAGAGATAAAGCCATCACTTCTCAGCGATAGAAACACCATATTTAGTTTTGTCTGTTTATTTTGCACATCCAGTCTTTCTTCTGCTACCCTTTCTGAACAAGAGGAAAGACATACTAAAATTTTGGTTTTAAAAGATTTACTTGGTCATTGTGTTTATATGGAAACAAAACCTGAAAATGTCTGTTTCATCTTTCCATTCTTTCGGTACCGTGATCTATTTTGGTGTAGAAGCTAGAGAGAAACTATCACAAGATCACATCCTTCCACCAATATCAAAAGAGAAGTGGAAGCTTAATAAAAGCAAAATTAAATGACATCAATTATTGGAGAAGTGGGTAATGTCAACAGGGAATATATATATTTGAGAGGTTTGTCTCAGAGATGCAAATAATTATAGGTTAGCTAGAATTATAAATCTTCCAAACCCTACTGTCTAATATTTGATCTCAAACTTTTCATTTGTCTTTCAAAAAACATTTTAATTTGAACATACATATTTTGAATTATATGAGTTTACAAAACTCTTTTGTTCTTTTAAATAGAGTGAGCATTCCTAAGCCATGTCTAAACCGTAAGATAAAATAAGACATTATTAGAATAATATGATTGCTAACTTTGACAAGAATCTTTTAAGTAATAGCATCCAATGTCAGAATTAAAGAGATTTTAACCAATCATTTTATGTTTGCTGCAAGAAAGGTTGTTTTAAAGAATTACTTAGAATTTAATGTTTTACTATGTTTCATTTCATTACCAAAAATACAGAAATAAAATGCAAAATAAACCTTTGAAAATTAGTATGCACTTAAATTTTTAAGCTCTTGTGAGAATGAGTATTAGAAAGAAAAAATACTCTAGATAAAAATGAATACTTTTTTAAAGTTAATAATTGGAACTGAAATTCCAACAAAAATATATATAATGAAAATCTATACAATTTTTATACCCATCTCTTTGCCACCTTTGCTCAGTACACAGCATGGCAATTTTATCAATAGCCTTATTAAATTGATTTTCAGTGTATACTTTTTATGGTTACAATATTATAATTGCTCAAGAATTTATTCTGAAATGTCTCAACCAATACTTTAAATCTTTCATAAATATTTCCTAGATCCACACCAAGAATCCCAAGCTACAACTAAAATATTAATCAGTAGATTATTCATTTATAATAGATTTAATGGACCCATATATGCTGATAATGAAGAAATGCTATGGTTTACAGATTTTATATAAAAGTACTCCTTATGAAAGCTAATGACTCATGCAAATGAAAGTAATGTTTTAGAAACATAATGTGAGTTTAGAAAGCAAGTAATTTGATAAATTTATGGAGAAGAAATTTGATTTTTTCTTTTTTCTTGGTGATATTTTCACATCTATTAACTTAAAAATTTTTATCCAAAATCTGTTTGAAAAATGCTTTGAAGATGAGTGTTTGAGAATGTAAGCAAAAGTACTTTAAAATGTGTAATTTTCAATGTTTACCTTTTAAATCATTTTCCAAAAAGAATTCAGATCATAGACTTTGTTTAATATGCTTGGCTATTTTGTATTTATTCATGTTAACATTTAAATGAAATGTTTGAGTTATCAAATATTCTATCCTTTCTTTGATCCTCTATTTAAAATACAGAGCTTCTCTAAACTTTAAAATATGCCTAGTAGTCTTCCTTCTAAAATATTAAAGTATCATAATCTTTTTGATAGAATTATAAACGTATCTTATTCACATATTATAAAACTTATCTGAATTGCAACATACATAATAAAATTTTAAATTTCAGGTTAGATATATTTGGGGATATTTGGAGCCCATAATAGAAACGTATACATATTGTATATATTATATCCATTTAATAAACACCATTATAACTATGTAAATGTTTTTAAAGTATTTATGTGCTGGAGTTTAAACCATGCATATTTATAATAATCAAATTAATATAATATTTTGCTTTTTTATGTCACTTAATTTATTCTTTATGGTATGCATACCAGTTACTTCTAAAATGAGATGAAGTGGTGTACATATTAAATAACGTGTTAAATAGAGAAAAAAACACAGAAAACCTAAAAATAGAAACATTGTATTGCATATCTACAATGGGATAAATTATAAATAAGAAATAAATATTAGGCAGAGTTATAAGATTCTATCTTTTTTGTTTTTATAAAAGAGATATAGCCGTTTGTACACAGAAAGCAAAATAGGTGGTCTCAGTGGAATGTATTAATTAATTCTTATATAATGGACACTGAATAGCCCTGCAGCTGATATTTTCTCAATCACTGTTTGCAAATGATACTGAAAATATCAACCTAATTCTTGTTTATAGAAAAAAGTCTGACAGTCTTAAGATTGCATAAGTCTTAAACACATTTTCTTCGTCTGATCAGGTAGATGAAATGGTATATGTGTAAAGAGCAGTAAAACAGAGTTGTGCTGAAATCCCTAAGATTTAATGTTGAATAAGAAACATCTTATAAAGCCTATTCCTAGATACCTTCCATTTTTCATAGAACTCAGCCCTTAATCCCTGAAAACAGGCTGCAAAAATTGACTCTGTTGATTAGTTCTTGTCAGGTGTTTTTCCCCACTTTTCAATTTGCTTCACAAGGACCTCCTCATATCACTCTTTCTTGATGTTGAAAAATGGACAGGATCTTGACACTGCACATTCCCTAGTCATCATGTCACAGTGGCCTGGAGTGATCCAAAGTTTGCTGTGGACGAGTATGTGGGAATGCTACCTGTCTCTGGTGTTGAAGAGTGGATAACTGCTCTGTTTCCTTCATTTTCTATCCAACGGCTCACATGGGTGAAAAACACCTCCCTTCTCTCAGGTGGGAGCCATCAAGTTGAGGTTTAAGTTTGATTCAACTCAATGAGAATGGTGGTTCTTTAAAAGGATGCAGAGAAATCTCACAGAGCTCAAGGACAAGATGTGAAGCTGGGCTTAATGGGAACCAGGAAGCAATCAAGAAAGGAGACTCTCTTTTTCTTTTTTTGGAGCTGCATAGATGATCTCTTTTTGTCTTCTCTGTAAATTTCTGGTTCTCTCCACCCATTGCCGTCCTTTGCTGATCTTCATCAAGATCCAAAGTGGCCATCAGATCTACACAGCAATCCTTCGGTTCCTATAGCTGCCACTCATTGGCTGGAAAACGTGTCGTTTAGTTCAAAAGCCTTAAGTTAGAAAAATCTCAGAGGGTAATGTCCAGTCAGTGGATTAGGTAGGCTTGAGCCAGTGTCCATCTCTGGGCAATCAGCCATGATCAGGGCCAGCAGAGTCATACAGTGGGTGCAGCTGCCTGTGTGTTAGGCTATGGGAAAGTTCATGTTCTGAGTTGGGCATGCAACAGATCTGAATACAGGAAGTTCCCAGGATGCCATGGTTTCCAGACTTCTGTGATGCTGAAATTGAGGTAAGTAATTGGGCCAGAATGGGCTCCTATTCTTGAGAAATTATGATAATTCTAGTCAGACTATGGTTGTCAAGGGATGTTTTTTGTATTTGGGGTTTTTAAAATCTATTTCTTTAATGCAAGTAAACTAAAACTCATGTGAACAAATATGTCTGTCAAAGGGCAGTACTGGGTATGATGCTATCTCCAATCAACATCCACTTTATTTTCATAAAGCATTCAGTAGCACACTATGAGAATCAGAAGTGTTTTCTTGATTAGAAGTAGATCAATTATATTATCAAATTATCAGGCTAATTTGAGGAAAGAAAACTAAAATATATTGAGCATGATGCTAGGGATTTTAATTATTATCAACTATTCAGACCTCACAAAACTATTGAGAGATAAGGAAATCTATCCTCACCTTACACATGAAGACACCAAAGACCAGAAAAGTCCAATTAGTTTATGTCTTGCTGTTTACATATTGCAGTGCTTGTATCTGGATGCACATCTGTCTGAAACCAAGGCCTATTATTTATTTCAACAGCATAGTATCACACATTTAAAAAAAAAAGCCAAGAATTTTCAATGACTTTTAATGACTCAAGACCACTTAATAATTTCGATAAAGCATCCTACTTGAGTATCTCTTTCCCCTTATCTTTTCAATCCACATTATGGGTTGATAGAAGAAAGCTATGCATGTCAAAATAAGAGATTTTAATTTGTTAACTTATTGGACAAAAATATTTTGAAAGGAACAAATATTCAAAATATTGAAAAGAAGACTTTCTGAATTAGTAGCCTGTTTTATTTCAGCTGTGGAATACACATCTGTATCTAGAGAGGTGTCAGTTAAGAAAGAGCACATGCAGAAACAGGACTGAAGGCAGGAGAGCAGCCTGACACATGGGGCTGAGACTTTACAGTTGCGGGGACCTGGGTTTGAATTCAGCCC